TAATTACACCTTCATCTGCTACTGGATATTTTATACATGTCATAGTTTGAAATTTGAAAGGTATGATTACATTCAACAGTGCTCAAATTCTAAATGCATTTGGTGAGTTTGAAAATGGTGTCATTTCTAAAAATATATGATTTTAAATTTCTGCCTCTAACATATTATTATGCAAATACTTAATATGGAATGTGGGAAGGAACTGTAGCAAATTGAGATCACAAAGGCAAAAAATCTGTCGACATTTGCTAAGCATTTGCTACATGTGCAAATTGCTTTATGTCTGCGGTGACTGTGTGAACGCTAACTGCGCAGACAGTGACTCGAATCGGTGCAGCACAGCCATACGATCGCTATGGCGCTCGCACGTTCCTCACCAAGCAATATTGCTTGAAATCTGCCCATTTGAACCAGCCTATCGCCGAGCCTCGAAATGTGCGTGTGCATTATAAACAGTGCGTGCTACGACTATATCGCCCTCTCTTCCCCGACCTACCCTCTCTACAGATGGACTCGTCCTCATTCTCGCCGGATATCACCTGGCCAGCCATCGATGAAACCCTCGTCAACACGACACTTAACTCCCCGCCCTTCGTGCTCGTCGAGGGCGTCATTAACATCCGCGACTTCGGCGCGCGCTATCTGGCCGCCTCGCGCATCGTCAAACCCGCCGTGCTCTTCCGCTCTGGCGAGCCGTCGCGCATTACGTCCCGTGGGGTCGACTCGCTCCGTGTGCTCGGGGTCAGGAAGGTGTTCGATCTCCGCGCGGACGTCGAGATCAGCAAGTACAATACTCCGAATGCGGCGATCGAGGGTGTCGAGTTCGTGAGAGTGCCTATTTTGGATGACGCGTTTGATCCGGTGGGGATTGCGGAGAGGTGTGTGCAACCTCTGCCGCCTACTGTGGTGTTCTGAGGTGGCTGAAGTGGAGCATATCGACTGCGTGTAGACTGAAGACCTTTGCAACGAGCGAATCTGAAGTGAGCACGATCGCAAAACTCGTCCAACCATGCCTCATATCGGTCGTCCTCCCAGGCTTTCTTGAAGTTGTATATTCAGATCCTCCTCTCCGGAGGGCCTGCGTTCGAGGTCATCCTCACGCACCTTCGTGATGCGCCCGACGTGCCCTGCTTGCTGCACTGTACCGGTATGTTCGTTGCGAATGTACTTCCCACGCCAGCACACTGACGAGTTACCCCAGCCGGCAAGGACAGGACAGGCGTCTTCGCCGCGGTGATCCTGATGGTGCTATCGTCACACGCATACATCTACACTTGCGAGCTGACACAGTGACAGCTCCTCGGCGCCAGTGACGACGACATCACGAAGGACTACACGCTGACGACGTATGGCCTGCGGCCTGCGCTTCCCCTTCTGGCTGCGCGCTTCCAGAAGGACCACGTATATCGCGACAACTGGGCAGGCACCGTCAACATGAGCACCGCCAAGTGCGTTCCTCATACCTCGAGGGCATGTGTGTGCGTTGCTGACAATGTGTAGGCCGCAGTCGATACAGAATATCATGAAGTACATTCACGAGCGCTTTGGCGGCGTGGAGGGATACTTGAAGACGCATACGAGCTTGAGGGAGGAAGACTTTGCGAGGATCAGGGAGAATTTACTCGTCCCGGTGCAGTTCGATGCGAGCAATTGAGTCATTTGGGCGTACAAAAGCACATCTGTTAATGATCAATGCTCACGAGTTGCGACGCCCTGTGGTTTGCCTTCTCAGAGGCCTGGACTTGAATGCGCGTGAGTAAATTGATGCAATGGACGACAGGTCCAACGTCGTCCTCTTTGAAACGTTTGAGTCGTGCTCTCTTTTCCACCCTTTCAAATGTTTACACTATGTCCCAGCATATCGTCGTGTGCGGCCCAATGACCAAGGTTCCTTACATTTTGTGCGAGCCGATGCATTAAACAGCGAATGAATAAGTGGTAGAAAAGGTGCCGCTTCCCGGTGTAGTGCTAACGGTTGCGGTAGCGAAGTCCCGAACGCTTGCAGTCAATCAACGCATAAGCGCCTGTCATTCAGGAAATACCTCGAAAACTCGTTCATGCAAACGACTCGTTCGCCATCGTGAGGTACTAAATTCAATCATCCTGGAGGAAGCGGCGCACTTATGCACTAAAACTAGAGCTTATCGGCATGCCCGGACCTGGCACATCAATGCACATCTCACAAACAGACAAATAAATTACAAGAAGCATGCGGCAGTACTCGTCAGACAAGGATATACGGAGCCTGCGGAGGTCGAAAGGAATCATCGAATCTGTCCAGGGGAGATCACGACACTGTTTCCACCCCCACTGTGGGTCTATAGCGCTGTGTCGTGTCATCGATTGCAGTCGGCCTTCCTACTACGCGGCGAATCATACCTACGAGGTGGAGGAACATATTATCTACATGACTCCACCTCAAGAAGGTTCATCAATGAACTTACACTTTCCTCATACTTGACCGCGCTGGTGGAGACGTCTTCTTCCAGAACGATAGAGATGACAGTCGGGCTGTACTGGTCATCTGCCACAATTTCCAGTGGACGATTGTTATTCTGCAAGTGGGGGACAGTCGGGATGAGCACGATGGCGTTTCTTCCGTCTTCGCCTTGCGCAGAGTTGATGATGGCACGGTTGTTCAGGGTGAACAATGCCGAATTGGCGTACCTATACAGAGTTTCTTAGCATGCTGACGTTGCTAATTGAGAAATTGGTGATACAGTTTTGAGAAAAAGAGCATTCTGAAAGCTTATCAGTGAGGCCGGCTTGCAGAAGTGCACGTCGGACTTACGGACATATTGCCCACAACTGTACGACTATGATCATCAGCGGATGGCCGATGATAACGTATACTACACCTACAGGTTCTTTGATGAAAAGAACGAGAATGACAATGGCGGTGGTGGCTAGTGGCGACTTTTAGTTTTTCACGGAGTAACACTGCGAGTTTCTCAGAAACATACCCGTCAGTGTGCCCGTTTCAATGACCACACGAGCTAGACGCTTCATGAGAATATCAGTCTGCTTCAGCCCATTCTTCATTTTATGGAACTGTTCTGCAGCTGTGAGGAATGTGCAAATTTGAACACAGTAGAACTGACCAAAATGACGAGCGTTAGGGCAATTGTCACGTCGGCTAAGGTGCTTCCAACAAGCCAAGACTAGCGCAGATATTAGCATAGGGTTTACAGATAGCCTGTATCGCTCACAATAGTTGTACCATTCCAGTCTGGTATGTCGTTGCCGAAGTAATTATTCAAAACCTCTTCAAGCATTAGCTATGAAGTGATGAGCAACTTTGACATATCGCGAGCTTACCTTGAGCGCGCTGTCGGCGGCGATTATCCCGCAGCACATCTGTGCTAATGCCACCTAAGTAGCCCGCAAGGAACAGAGTATATGATTTAAAGACATCAATATCAGGCACTGATTGGGAACTTCCAGCGTACGTACCACAATGACAAATCCTGTGATTATGCGCGATTGCGAAAGGATATAGACGCGGCGAGCAAAATAGGTTTGCACCGCGGCTGATTGGAGAGCACACATGATGTAAACGATGACCCATACATCGTTAATGCCCAAGAGATAGCCCGCAACGCTGTCCGATACTTCCGCAAAAACGTACACAACCACCAATCCAGTCTGGACCCACTCGTAAATACATACGAGATAAACTGATAGCAATCATGTCAGATGGGATGCATGTCTGCGTAAGTGACGGGGCTGACCCAGGCACTTTTGAATTAATGGATCATCAGGAAAGCAGAGATGATATACATCTCAATCGACTCATCAAATAAAACATGCAAGTGGACGTCGATGATGACTTACAAGTTTGCACCGTCAATGCAGACTGTAGTCCCACATTGAAGAGGATTCCGATCAGCTGTTGTCAAGGTGGATTGACCCAAGTTCCGGATTGTCCAGCACCCACAAAATAGAACTGACCTGCGGAAGAAGGCTAGAGAGCCGTTAGCATATACAACGCGATGATGACTGCTGACGTACTAATACTCAAATTGTGCAAACATGAGGTTCAATGTAGGTGGAAGGGATAACAAGCTAGTAGAATGGCATTACTTCCCGAACTTATAGCACAAACGATGACATTGATGAACTATCAGATGCGACGCCCGCACAAATCTTTTTGAGATGCAACAGCCTCGCATCGTACAGGATATCCGCTAGCACGAACTCACCTATTTGTAATTTGACGTCAAAGGATCAGATGTGTCAGAATGCACCGTCGAGGGTTGAAGCATTTCCAGGGATCTGTTTTCACGACCCTATTAGTAGGAGACGCATCCCAGAGATGGCTTACACATGGTGTCATAGATCGCATGGCTATTAAAAGCTATGCACAAATATGTGTGTTGGGGGGGAGGGGTTGAACTTGAAGGCATTGATATCCGTCTCGTGCCAAACAAAGGACGCGTTGGATGAAGAAATGATCACCATCTCATGGCCTGTCCTCGGCGCCTCATCAAATACCATCCGTACTTCAGGGCCCGCTGGCCATACAAGGTTCGAACGTGTGACAGAGCGTTACGCTGTAACAGCTAAGGGTTGTTGAAGCATCAGAATCATGATGCAAGCACCGTCATGTTCAATATACTACATACCGCCCGAAGCTATGCAATGCCTTCCGCGCAGGATCAACGCAATATATTGCACGGTCCAATTCGTCACATCTGGGCTTGATTGACATTGAACAATGGTGAGCAACTTGCCAGATGAGGGCAGCAGCACGCATGAACTGACATATTTGCATAAGCTACGCGATTCCCGGACTATGTATTGAGTTCGACAGTATGGAGAGCCAGGCCAGGAACCAGGTGACGGACTGATCATAGAATCTTTCTGATCATTGGTCGATATTAGGGTTTGACAGCAAAACTAATGCGAACAAGGAGATGGCTCTCCAACGAAAGACGAGCGATATGAAGAAGTATGCGAAGGTTTGACGACGAACTCGCAAAGACCGAAATGAAGGCAGTGAAATTGCTCACGTTCTTGAGACATAACCATCCAGTGACTGCATGGCAAACATCTGCAAATGAGACATTTCGATAGATGCTTACAGAGCACTGCACAGCACTGAGAATTGTTCATAGAAAATGCGTACCCAACAAAGAGATCCTAGGAGGACGAGTGTGTATTTATACCCATGATGAATGGAGATGACGCACGAAGTATGGTAGCAGGGAGACTTCTTGAAAATGCGTTTCAATCCCGGGAGCTCTAAGCACTCCTTTCGAAGATCGCATTCTTCGGTCGCTACGGAGGCTGACTGTTGATCCTATCAGGTCAATTCGTCGTTACGTTCATAGCAGCCAAGAAATCCGTCACTCCGATTGAGTTCTAAAGATTGAATTGCAGAGGGTATTACACTGTTACCTCGCGTACTGCATCGTATCAGCTGCTACCTTTCAGAGCAGACGGATTGCCTAATTAGAATGAATGCCTCCTACTCGGGTGGAACTCACCCTCGGGGAGAAATGTATATCAAGCCAACACCCTTCAGTGCAGTCCCAGACGGAAGAATTGAGGTCCTGAGGATGCTCAGAAGATGGTCCCGCTCTCACGGCCGATGTAACTGATTGAAGTCGGAAAAAGTTTGTCCCGGTCATTTTCACGATGTCAATACAGGTTGCACTCTTGATGACCGCCGTGTTTGACAGATGCAGACGTACGAAAGCGATGCGACTGCAGGGTCTGATATGGCATACGTTTCAACCCCTGCTTTTGTTCGGAAAGACACATTACCCTGCACGAAGACTGCAATTTCATCTCCATTCCCCGAGAGCGGATATGATATGGTTCTTCCAGCCGTACAAGGTTTGCACAGCCCGGAAGACGCGCATACAAGGCAGAAATCACCGTCAAGGATCCGATGCGACGCGGATGAAGACTTACCGTCAGACACCACTTGGAGCTTTGTGATGCGATAGAACGGTTGCATGCAGATTACACGGTAATTTTGGGAGGATGATTCATCGTCGGCCGCTCGCTGAAGAAAACAGCAGTATAGACGGCCGCCCGCGGCGAGGTTCGTCGATTGCGATGGAGGCGAGAGATTGGCTTCTCTGGCGCATAGCATACCGCTATAGTCCGAAATGAAGTCCATCGAAGACCTAGAGGAGTGAGCCGACATTGCCGGTGCGTTACTACATTTTTAATTCTTATCGAGGAGGTCGAACGCCATGGTAAGTTTGATCTGAAGATAGAAAGTGGGCCGGGTCTGGTAAGCCATTGTGTGCATTGTAGCTTCGTTGCTAGTAATAGCGATGCAATTTTGACCGTAGTGTCCGCGGGGAATGATTGTGGAAAAAGGTCGCGCGCCAAACTGAAGTATAGAAGCGCGCTTCAATATGGTTAGCGCTTTGATGGCCAGCTGGTACGGTAGCACACTGACGCTCAAGCCCTTGCAAATGTCTTTTCATTTAAGCCTGAGTCTCGAGAATGACTCAATACCAATAGTAATGGTGCTGCGCATGCAGGCTTCCGCGCAACGCACAGTCTGTCATGAAAGACCTGAGACAGCATGAGAACTTCTTCTGCCTCCAAGTAACACAGTGCATATTGTCAAGAGAAACGAGACTCGGACAATGTCAAACCACGAGCCCATGGTTCCGACCGTTCCGTATGGTAAGTATCAAAATAATTCATCACATGCTTGGCGTAGGCGGGGAGACGAACTGGAAAGGCGAGGCATCTGTTCTTTGTGTCATTGGATCATTCGCTTTCCCAGCTATGGTCATGACCAGCGGAGATGCGACCCTGAAACCACCAAGTCAGTTTCACGATCAGTCATCCAAAATCATGTCCAGACATACTTCCTCCTCATCTTTCGTAACAAAAGTGTTCACTTCATGGCTGACAGCGACGACGATAGGAATCATGCGCGGTACGCTTGAGTGATCAACATCGATCGTCGGGAAGTCCTGCATATTGCCGATGTTATGGCCAATCGGCTTCAGGACATTGGCATCTCCGTTTTGTCCAGACTTGACGATCACGCGATTGTTGAGCGTGATCAGGACAGAATTTGCGTATCTATACAAGAGACTTCAGTAACACTGACAAAGAAACATACGAGGCTGATGCTACTACAGTTTTGACAGGATGAGGAGTCTGAGAGGTCCGTTAATAATGTGACTCCGAGCAAATGCACCGTTAACCTACGGACAAATGGCTGACTCTCCCTGCGCCAGTCGTAAATAAAGAATCACACAGGAGTCAAAAGACGTCAGACGTACGGTCCCTCCCACGAACAGACCAAGAGTGACGACTGCTGTGACCGCTATCGACGTTTATGAGTTTATCTTGAAATTGGGGCGGTGATATGACACACGTACCGGTCAATGAGCCTGTCTCGACGACCACTTTTATTAAGCGGTTAATGATGATGTCAGTCCATTTCAGGCCATTCTTGAGCCTGAACAGCTGTTTTGTGGACGTAAGAGGATGCATCATGTGGACGCACGGAACTGACCAAAACTACGAGCGATACAGCGATAGTCAAATCGCATATAGTGCTTGCAGCAAGCCAAACCTGCCACACAAATCAGCATCCTACGTAACGTTGATCTAGGTTCCAGGGTTCCTGACATATGTGGCCACATCGATGTTGAGGACTTCGTACGAGTATACTGCACCGTAGCTACCTCGTAAGCAATCTGTGATCGTCTATTTACCGTCAATCAGAAGAGTCGAGACTCGACGAGCAAGGTCATCATTAAGAGCACCTTGAATGTCTGAACACCGCCTACGAGCCCAGCACTCAGCTGAGCCAATGCGACCTAGTTATATGGCGAACAATTGAGATGATCGATGTCAGATGTGCATACTCACAATGAACGAGAACACGTACGAAAACGGTAAAACATGGGATGACATACGAGCGCGAGAGGATGTATATGCGGCGGGAAAAGTAGATCTGCACTGCAGCCGACTGGACTGCACCCATAATGTAAATTGTCACCCACGCGTTGCCGGAGAAGAGTTCAAAGTCATCAATTGCTGACGAGAAGGACTGCGTTGAAGTTGAAGTTGCCCAGAGTAGCAGACGATATGTGAACGCTGTGATCAATCCTGTCTGTACCCACTCGTAGATGCACAGCACGTATACTCGAAGGCAGACAGATCAGCTAGAAAGCCCAGCTGTCACGACTGCAAGGCTAACCTAAACACTTTTGAGTCCAGCGATCGTGCGGGAAGCAGAGGTAGTAAATGTCTCGAGCAGTTTTAGTCTATCATCGCATGTAATCCGATGCAAATGGCTTACAAGTCTGAACAGTTAACACGCTTTGTAGCCCCCAGTTGAATGCCAATCCGAATACCTGTAGCAAGAGTGGCTCATTGTCATTCTGCCTTGGTATCTTCTCAAGAGTGAACCCACGAATGGACCCAGACTTGGTGACTGTCAGCATTGATCAGTGCAATGCAGCAGTACTCTCAGACTCACTCGATAGATGGAGTTGACAAGGTTGACATCGTGGAACTGGTACTAGGAGCGCGCAACTGGGATGACTCTGATCGACTAGAGTCCTTATATTGCGATGCAGAGCCGGCGGCACCTGGAAGGCATCAGGGCAGCTTCCAGTGACTCATGGAAGAAGATGTACTAGGATTGTTGTGAACCACATTGCCCCACCCTTCTGATTGATGGGAGGGCCATTCGCGACAGGCTGGTAGATGCAGCAGTCAGAACGTGCGACCTGAGCGAAAGTTCATATCGATGATAAAACTCTGTATTAGTATGGCCGCACCACGCATGACAGGCCATCGACGGCAGTGCACATTGCGTGATTACAACAGCGCTTCGTTTGACAGTTACATCAGCATGCGAGTACCCTTCTCTACAGCAGCGCGGAGATCATTCATGAGCCGCTTAGTACGCTGTGAGAATATCGCTGCTATAGGTTGATGCCTCTGAGATAGTATCCACGCGTGCGGAAAGGACATCGCCTGGCCGAATAATGCTGTGGCGATGCCAAAAGAAAGAAAGCAGCCAATCGCCGGACATGATCGATTGATCGTTCAAACGTTCATGCATGCATGACCCGGTTGAATCGACTGAGAATGAGCCAACATTGATCTGAGAATATAAAGGGCGGAAGACTCGTATTGTGCGGCCCTAGTACGTTGAGTGATCTAAGCGGGCTCTCAATCAGTCAGGTAGAAGATTCTCTCCCTCCTGAATTGTTATAGAGTCTGGCTAGAGAGCGTGTTGACAAACAGCCGGCAATTAGGCGGCGCAATGCCATAGGACGAACCATGATTCACGACGGCCATTCGACGTAACTATCGCCGATGGGAACGGATCGGATGGACCCTTCAACTTCTCAATCCCGGGCCTTTGCGCAACGAAACTATCAGACTGGAGCGAATGATGCGAAGACAGACCCACGGCAGATTCTCGCCTCAACAGAGCTTCTGCCGTGCTCACGATGACAATAGCGCGTGCAGTCGCCGCAGATGGCTCGGTTTTGCCTGGTGTATACAGAGCCTGCGGGATATGAGGGCCCTGGAAAGTAGAGACGTGGACCAACGACCATACAGCACACTGTGGAAGCTGCTATTCCGTAATGCATATGCGTTAACGCCTTCTACGCAAACATGGAGCGTTAGCGTGCCAGACGATGATGACGGGACTCTCTAGAGCAGACATATTGCAATACAAATGTTCCGAGCACTTGTGAATGCGAAAACAGGAATCTCCGGAGAGCAAATATGAAGGATTTGAATGGCTATAGGTTGAATAGCACACACTATCTAGATGCCAGAGCAGAGTTCGTCGGCTATAGCGTAGTTCCAAGTTGCACGCTGATAGGTACCATGCCAATGACAGTGATGAAGTTTGTCTGCAACAACTCGTAGACACAGGGCATACGCTGCAAGGAGGTGCGTACCAGCGTGCCGTATCAAAATTGCGGCCGACAATCCACCCAAGCACCTCTGGATAGTATGGTCTTCCGGGACAGATGTAGGATGTATCTATTTCAATATTAATATTGGGTTCTATCGTGCTATGAATATGTAGATCCTACCATCGGGGTGCGCCTTGTAAACACAATTGAAGACGACTCCAGCATCCTAACAAAATAAGCGCATGTATTTAGATTCTGTAGCTTGAAAGTAAACAACATGATGCACACCATCCTTATAATTACATAGAGTCATCGGCAAGGCACACAGCGTTCAAGTTTCAAAGAGCACTTACTGGAAATTGGCGTTGCAACAACTCCGAACGCTGAGAAGTAGATGAGTCGTCGATTACTTCACCCTCCCCCCCAGTACAAGTGTTAATGGAAGACACCGAGACTACTCATATCTGCAATAGTCAATAGACAACCAGATATGTGCGAACAAGTTCATAGCATTGGCCAATGTGCAAATACGCCTTGCCCGAAACGGAAAAAGCTGATCGTCCCCGCATCGACCACGGCGATGACTACCAATTTGCTGCCAGTCTTCAGCGCTAAGAACGGGTTCGGCTTGCGAGGCGGTGAGGCTGCCTGAGAGGAGGAAAACCAAGATGATATTCGTTGTATCAATGAGGATTCTAGAACAGGTGTTGGGGGCGATGTGGATGAGGCTGTGGCAGAAGCCGCCGCGATCTTCTGCTGAGCGAACGACATGCGCTTGCGAGGCAGTGGAGGCGGTAACTCGGGCAGAACGCCGAACAGATCTGTCAGTTCAGTTAACGACGGCATCGGCGTCGTGCGCGCGCTGTCAAGAACAGATGATAAGCTCCGGGGCTATCGGGTCAGACGTTGTATTCGTACTTCACCACAACTACGGAGAAGTCTGGCTGAGGCGGTGCGGTCTTCTTGAACGGAGTAGATGGCTTATATAGATTGAAAAAGATTTCATACGGGGAAGGAACATTCTCCGTAGCAGATCTGATATGCAAGGATGCCTCATGGCCTTTTGAAAGGAACCTCGATGATTTGAGAGTGGAAGCTGCGGAGGCCGTGAGATTCATGAGGTGCGAGGAATTTTATGAGTGAACGAACCAGCGTCCATGTTATGATGGAACCATCGGCTGAAAAGGAGCGGTCTCCACCACTTGCCGCGGTGCATGAAGACTCGCGAGAATCGTTGCCAAGCGAACGAGAAAAGACCATATATCACGGCAAAGATAGACCGGGACCGGTTTGTTCGCATGTCGAATGGTGGTGGTACTGGATAATCAGCATTTGGAGGTTTTGCACGAGTCACCACATAACCAAGACGTTTCAAGTAAGCAAATACCTGCCAATCTGTTGAAATGTCATGCGCGTCATACGAGGAAGCAGACAGCCTACTTGGTATTCCTCCAGTGTGAGTCCTTCCTTGCCAATCATCTCAGCAAAGGCTTGCTCTACAGTCATCGGGATGCCTTCAACGTCTTCCAAGCCCGGTGTAGAGGCAAGAGGCAGTTCGGATGCTTTCCAGCAGAGCATTGCTCCACGTTCAACCAGATATATCGCTTCTTCTGGTAGCATCTCAAGCCTTTTCTGCACTTTCTTGTTTACATCTTCGCCAGGCGATGTTCTGGCCACTGAGTGGCCCATGCTAGCGAAGTGAATGCCTCGGTTCAACGTGACATGTGCTCGAGCAATATCAGGATACCACACGGCATAGCTGATAGACTTGCTGAAGCAGCCCCATTGAAGATCAATATCCGACGGAACAGATAAACCCGTAGCGATTTCCACACCTTGATATCGAACGCGGTGCCGAAAGAGCATCGAACATGGCATTTCGCGCACGGTCTAAGACATGCCGCTGAAGACCCGATCCACCAGCCGCACTGGGCTCGAAATCTTTCTCGCCGCGTTTGGGGATGACTGGTCGGGAGACTGACAGTGACCTGAAATTGATTATAACCCCAGTTAGATAAGGCAGTAACGTTTTGAACATACAGGATTTTCGTCCAGTCAGGACCCTGATCCTCGTCTCCGGAGGACTGCTCGTCCTCCTGCTCCAGCAAGTCTGCTGACTGAGACAGAGCAGTTGGTCTTTCGAGACTATCGTCCATATAGCGCACCGCGTACGACGCAAGGAAAATCTAAGTTGTGCAGAGGCAAAGAGCGATTTGGGCGCTTAGCCAGTCGCCTTGAAAGGACTCGAGTAAAGCCTAGTAAAGCGCGCACGCGAGTCAAAGTTGATTTATTGGTCTTCCCACTACTTTCTGAGTCTTTCTCAGTCTCCTCCCATCGCAATCAGCACCCACAAGGCGCACGGTCGTCTTGCTGCCCAGTCCAGTTTGGGTCGCTAGTAGTCCAGGATGACCACGCAAGCGACACCGACGTTCTATCAGTCGCTCGCGGTACGTCTCGCGTCGTAATTAACATTGTAACACGCATGACAGACGTGCCAGGCTGGCGGTCTCGCTGGGACAGCAGTGGATCTGTTGTTCTTCCCGATTGACACGATCAAGACGCGTTTGCAATCCGCTCAGGGCTTCATACGTGCCGGGGGATTCAGCGGAATCTACAAGGGTGTCGGCAGCGTTGTGGTAGGGAGCGCACCGGGAGGCGAGCCTGCAGCACTTTTATTACACCGCACGCAGATCTAATGTACTACATAATCCAGCCGCGGTGTTCTTTTGCACATACGATACGCTCAAGCGGACGCTACCCCTTCCATCGGACCTAGCACCAGTAACACACATGATCTCCGCGTCCGCCGGCGAAGTTGTACGCGCGTGTCCCTTCGGTCCTAGTCTTGTCTCATGCGTCTACGGCGGTGCCAGGCTGCGTGTCTGATCCGCGTGCCCACCGAGGTCATCAAGACTCGCATGCAGACATCCTCATACGGTAGTCATGCACAGTCATCGTTGGCAGGAGCGAAGCGGATATTGACCGATGAGGGGCTACGAGGTTTCTATAGAGGCTTTGGGTCCACCATAATGAGAGAGGTACGTAGTGTGCTATTCGGCTGTAAGCAAGCGCGTGAATCTAAACAAGCATACGTGCAGATCCCGTTCACCTCTCTTCAATTCCCACTGTACGAATTTCTCAAACTCCAGCTTTCTCGTGCATTGGGGAGAAGACCTCTTCACGCGTATGAGGCTGCTGTCTGCGGAAGCTTTGCTGGAGGGGTCGCCGCAGCCCTCACAACTCCCTTGGACGTATTGAAGACGAGGGTCATGCTGGACATGCGAGTGAGTCCTTCCGCTTGGCTATTGGACTGCTAACTAATACGAGCTAGGATGCAACAAAGCATTCAGTGCCATCATTGCCTGCTCGCTTGAAACAGATCTATGTGACGGAGGGCACACGTGCCCTATTCGCCGGTGTAGTGCCACGGACGCTCTGGATATCGGCCGGGGGAGCTGTTTTCCTTGGTGTATACGAATGGGCTGTCCACGGGCTTATGGGCATCTAGAAAACAATGATACAGATTATATGTGAGTATAAAACGGGCCACAGATACGTCCGTATTCGCCGGCGTGGAGGTATGAACCAGCGCACAGCACCGAAGGGCAGCCAGTACGGTACATGGCGAGCAACGGTATCGAACGTCGGTTCAAGAAGGACTGTTGCGACGTGGACCAAGACGCAGGATGACTCGAGGAAGCTTCTTTGGCTCTGCGCTTGGCCCTGGTATGTCCGACAGTGCAGCGCTAGACTCGCTTTTCGAATCACCAGACGTTACGTGAACTTCCTCCGACTCCTGTTTTAGCATGGCGCCCTTGGCATCCGAGATCGAGTTGTCCTTCCTCGCAGATGCGCTCTCCTTGCTCGGGGACGACGATGAACTCCGCTCGGTTTCCGTTACAGCTGGATTCTTACGTTCACGAAGCACACGCGAAGATGGTGGTATAGCGGCACGCGACGATGTGGTCGGCATAGTATGCGACGAGTCAATCTGTGCGAATACTTCCAGTGTGCGTTCCAGCCATGGCGCCGGCTGTGTTGCCTGCGAATTCTTCCCTCCTCTGTGCCTCTTTGTAGCTTTCTCCAACTGCATTAAGGGTATGGTGTCTGCAGCAAATTTATAACAGACAAAGAGGCAACATACCTGTATCAGACTGTCTTCACTCCACCAGATCTCGTCGACCAGCGTGTGATCGGTATGAGCTAGCCCAGTCAGATGCGCCAACGCGCCACTGGTCAATGCACGATCGCTGTATCCACCCTCAAGGACGCTAATAAGCCGCCCGCGAGCAAAACGCTCCGCAAATGCACGCGCATCTCGCGCAAAGCGGTGGTAGAATGTGGTCGGTACCTGTCGTTTGTGTCGCGACATTGACGGATACTCGTGCTCGCTTGCATCAAAGCCGCAGCTGTAGGAAGAACATCTCTATTAGAGCATGATGCCATGCACATTGCTAGCTGCAGACCTGATGAAGACCATGACATCGTCGCCTTGCCCACCGCTGCTGTCAAGAAATTCAGCGGCCTTGCCTATGAGTTTCGCATAGGGCCCTGAATATAGCTCATCCCAGAACTGCTCCTTGGAGCTGTACGGTCTTAGGTGGATGTTCTGGATGTGCTGCCCATGCGGCCCGTGAATTGATACAGAAGCAGCTTGAACGAGGGCCGCTTTGCCGTCCTTTCTACGAACATCAGCAAAGTTCCGGCAGTGGATAGGGGAGACTTTGTACCTCACATGGATATGAGAGTACGTCGTGGAGACTGCCATAATAAATCTGCAGCCCAGGCTTTCCTGGGGGAGCACCATATTTCTGTTCAAGACTCTTTCTGTACGTCTCCTCATTGATCTGCCAGACAATCGATTGTGTTCCGTTGCCTGCAGGCATGCAAGGGTCCTTATATGCGGCAGCATTGGCTGACAGAACACAGAACGTACCGTGGTGCAAATCAATATCGAGGATTACCACTCGGTTGATGCCATGCCGCAGGTGTGCTGGAATCGGTTGGTCAACATTCGATAGACTGCGTGAAGTCGGCTTACCGTGCGCTGCTGCAACAGCTACATTATTAACGAAGCAGAAACCGGATGGAGTATCCTAGTAATCTGTAAGACCAACTTGTCAGCGGAACACATATGAATAATACCTCTCCGCAATGATGGCCAGGAGGTCTTATTGCGACGAATGCTTGGGACGTGCGGACATTCCCCTCTGCTTCACTATGCAAGGAGTTGACGACAATGTCTACGGCCTGGCAAACGGTGCCTAAAGCACCTTGTATAGCATCGATGGATTCCGGACAAACTGCAACCACATCAGTGCGATTGGAGAAGTACAGACTAACCTATACGTACGGTATAAATCACCCTGCGAGAGAGTTTCGGGAATTTCACTGTCACCCTTTTCGACTTTCTCCTTACTCATCTTGGCCCAATTTTTCAGATTTTCCAGATAAACATCCCCGTCGATGTCGCCATGCACGAATTTGACGGCGGGGTTATTGAGTATGTCTACGGTCGCATCGCTGTGAACAAAGTGGACGGGCACACGCGGAGAAGGGCCATTGGACTCCGAAGATGCGAGGTCCAGCCGTCCTAGAGCAGAAACCAACTCGTCGGCATCAGGCTTGTTATCCTGCAAATATGCAACGCGTCCAGGCTGTCCGTCTCCGCCGTCATGCTTTGCCTTCTCTGCACGCCCGACGATGTCTTCAAGGCGAGCCACCGCAGCGGCGAGGCCGATATTAACCGCCCGTAAACGTTCGGGACGCTCTACAATGCATGAGGTATCACGAGAGCGTATATAATGATGCCGCAGACAGGCCTTCTGTAGGAAGACGGCAGTTTGACGATTAGATGCGGTGGGAACTTCTGAAGTGGCCATGTTGCCGGAGGACGCGCGTGAATAGAGGACAGTGTAGTGTTGTAGGCTATCATTGTTATACCTAAGTTGTCCGTCCTTGTAATCATTTACATAACTTAGAGATAAAATACTTCAGATCAGACGTCTCGGTTGCTGTCCAGTGCATTGTCTTTCACTCCTTCATCCCCGTTCTTGGCCTCACGCGCACACCGCTATTCGTAGACCCATGGACCTGGCTTGGAACACATTGAGCGGCTTCGCTGCGTCGACAAGAGACGTTATCGAGCAGCCGGTCTTGGCCGCAGGACAGCCTGCATCGCCAACTGTCCAAGGCGACCATGATCATGCGCCACAGTCTGTAGCCGAGCCACTCAGGTCTGAAGAAGGACATGATCACTCTGTCGAGAGCGACGAGGACGACGGGTCTCCATCTTTGGCTTCAGATTCGATTTCAGACTCGGATGTCGGACGTGATGACGGCGGAGAACACAGCGATACTAGCATGCCTTCACTTCAGAGCGTATCCGACTCGTCAGATGACGATATCTCAGACTCAGAAGGTACTATACAGGTGAGACAAGTGCAGAGGCAAGGTGTGCTGCTTGGAGAGGACGTCAGTAGAGATACGGCCGCGTATGCGCGGTTCATGTCGGTGGACGAGGACGGTGAAGACGAGGACGATGAAGATTATGACGATGAGGATGACTGGATAGACGATGAGGAGGAAATTCTTCAGTCGCAACTGCTACCCGAATTCGACGTGAATGTGAGCGCTCTAATGCGCTATACTACGCAATTCGTTATTATGCTGAAACCTCTTCGTTCTATTTGGTGGACAGTTGAGACCGCAGGATCTACTAGACCTGCTACTTACGCCACGAAGGCAAGCGATCGATAACGACCCTATGCGCGCCGAAATCTTGTTGAAGGGTCTTGAAGTGGTGCCCGAGGAAATCGTTCGCCGATATGAGAAGCTGCGAAGTGGAATTGAAGATGATAACGACGGCTGTGCAGTCTGCCGTGACGCATTCCTTCAAGATTGTTCAGAGGAGACACCGCTCGACAAGCACGACGGTACAGCTCAAACCGGTGCCCTCTGCGAGCAGCCCCCACCCCATTCTGCACCTGGCTTCATCCTTGTCTTCCCATGTCCTGGCAGGCATCTCTTCCACCGCGATTGTCTCGCGCCATGGCTTGCCCGGAAGACGACCTGTCCATCGTGTCGTTTCGATATTGATCCGGATTCTTTGACGCTGAACATCGTGAGCTTTGGCTCATCGCCGCCAGATGGGAGAGCGGACACACTGCAGACGAGAATGAAATGGGAGCCGCCCAAGGTAGCGAAGTTAGAGGAATGGCTGGAGCAGGAAGAGTATGCCCGCGCCCATGGAACTAGTGCACGTCATATGAGTTACACGCAGTGCCCAATTGGTGTGTTAAACATCGTATGTCTGCATAGGCATAAACTCACAATGTTTTCAGGACCTCAATATGAAGATGAGGCACACGCTGATGATGAGGGCGAGAGTGAAGACGGTAGAGATGGTCCGCTGGATAATTCGCGAACACATCCTTTCAGCCAACATTCTCGAGAGAGTACCTCCGTTGCGCATTCTTCCCAGTCAGCGCGAAGTTCATCTCGTCGTGTGGTCGGATCTTTGTCTTCTGCGCCTTACAGCACGACCACGCGGACCACCTCTCCTCCTCGACCACATAACTCAGCTAGGGCCTCCCAGCTGATGGCATTGCTGGAAGCGAATGCGCCCTCACACGTATCTGCTATGGACATGCACGATGCCGTGTACGAGAATATGTTGTCAGGCGTTCTTCGCCTGGCTCGCTCGCACATACTCACAGGCCCCCCGACAATGCCCCTTTCGTTTACTCAACATCAAGATCACGGCCCAGAAAGTGATGAAGAGCCTCCTCCACTAGAGTGAAGAACGTTTTGACTTATTCAAACCTATATGCTACATTATGTGTTTTAGTCGCTCCAATTCCTGATCATCGTCATCGGCACACCCTTATACTTTACCAACATTGCACCAATCATATCTTGGTCGGTTTTATCGGTCGGAACTTAGGTAACTAGGATGTGCAATGTCTAATTCATCAGAGCTCGCTGCATGAAGCCATGTACGAATCTTCCATGCGCCAATTTAGTCATGCGCGACCAATATTTATACTTCGGACAGCCGTACTCAACTTTTACGAAGCAGTCCAATGAAGTGGGCAATTGAGAGAGATAATGATGTGGGACGTTTAGACCGCGCGTACAATCGCTTGCACCAGGTTCATATGCGAGGGGGAGCATGAAATCAAAAAAGCGAATGTCGGAATGGCGGGACGCTCGTGGTATGTTGGGCTTTGAGAAGTCAGTGCGATATTGGAAGGCAATGATTGTTTGAGAACCTTGCGAGTATATAGCGCCTGATGGACGCTACAGATGCGACATCTCCTCATCCAGGCGTGCTGTTGATTGAACAGTTGCAACATCTAGATCATCTGGGTAATTCGTACAGCCCTGTCTACATCCGACCAGTCCTTCATCCACTGAGAATCTTCAGGCTCGCCATAACGGTCTGAGGCATCGATGCTTGTCAAAGACGGGAAGAGACGCGATAAAAAGGCAGCGACTTCTGTTTTGGAGGATATCGTCGAACAGCACACTGTGAAATCTTGCAAAGGACATCGGGAGGGTTGAGGCAATACAATCTCGGGGAGCATTGAGCCATCCGCGTGCAGCTCGACGATCAACGAATGCAATTGCAAACAGTTCTGAGCGAAGCCCACTATCCCTTGAAGTGTGGCGTGGGGATGCAACTCTTGATCTTTAGAGATGCACCAATCATTGTGATACACATAAAGGCGTCGCAGATTAGGCCACGCAAACGCCATCTGTCGAAGGATATTATCGTTGATCTGGATACACCAAGGGCCGCTAATCTCGACTGCCTCCAGATGACGGAAGATGAGTAGTTCCTGTAAATGCTGAGACAACAGGATCACCAACGGATCGTTCGAAACCTCGACGGCGGCTACTTCGTAGCTCAACTCGAACGTGGAAAGCGGCGAATCTGATAACTGTCTATGGATGGAGCTGAACAGCTGTTGCATGAGGCCTTGTGTTAATGGCGTACGAATTTGCAGGATGAAGGAGTGTACTCTTGATAGGGACACACTATTGGCAAAAGAGACGTACGACTGTGGGTCATCAGTCCGGATTTTCATCGTCTCTAGAGACTGAAACCAAGACGAATCCCATACGTGTCGAGAATGCTCTTGTCGAAGGAGGGAAAGATGGAAATGGTACAATGTCTTCTTTTTGCCGAGAGCGGACTTCATCCGAGCATTGAGAGGCATGTCAAAGCACTCTAGTACCCGCAGATTCTCTAGCCTGCTTACGAGAGAGGAGAAGGCGTCCGAGATGATCCGGCCAGGTGGGCAACCGCATGATGAACGAATTTCTTCAAGCAAAGGGCAAGCGTGTTCCAACGCATACAAGAGTCGCGCGAGTGACTTCTGCTCCTCAATTTCAAGACTCGGAGTTACGCTGCGAAAGGTGAAGCTGCGCAGCTCGGGCCCGAGAAAGGCCCAAGAATACTGGAAGTATTTTGCCTGATTTGCCGCGGCCACGTACGATGTTAAATTCAAGTTGAGCACGCGAAGGTTAGGAAGTATCGCAAGTACTGGGCGAAATATGGACAGATATTGAAGTGCTTGGGATGACATGTAAGATGATGTATACGCCCAAGGACTGGCGTTCTCCAAGCCAAGACGTTTGATGAGCGGTAGATATTTGAGCGGGGTGACCCAATCTACAGGACGGAGAAGCCTTATGAATTCCTGCAGTGCATCAGTCGTCGAGAAAGAGCGAGATATCGGACTGCACGTACTATGCACAGTTTCCGGTTGTACGGATCGTACGCAACCGTCCAGGAATCGTCTGGAAAAAGCTTGATGATGGGTGACGGATCATCTAGAGACTCCCAGAGTATTTCGAGCGCGGGCTGTGAGAAAGACCGACGTGTTCTAGCAAGCACTGCGAGAGCATGTATATCATCTTCGCGGAGAACTTGGAGAATTTGCAACAGTAGCTCGTTCAGCAAAAGTGCACGATGCATGCTAGATGACCTTGATGTCGTCAATTTGCAAGGCTAAAGTGCATCTGAGGCAACCAGGCAGGACGTTTGGCCGGAATCCACCGTGACGGGGAATCTGACAATGTGGTTGGGACGAAAGAGGCGAAGGCGGGGTTTATGCAAATCGCGCCAAATATTGAACCAAACATGTCGTGAGAGTTCAAAGGAAGTCGTGAAGGTCTCGTGGCTTTGGCTGATTCGGGCGAACAATGGCATTTATACAACAGGCGGACTTTAGCAAATGAATCGAAAAGAAACTTCCTTGCAAATGCAACAATGCGGTTGTCCTTGATAACGCTCCCAGCGAGTGTCTCATCGTCTCGTCGAAATAAAGCCGCAGCAGAGTGCCAAGTTTCTGCATTGCGAGTCGCCGTAGCCAGGAAGTGCCGCTGGCCACAATCTCCGATTTGGCAGGCGTAGCTGTATTATGTTGATTGATATTCGGCTTCATCTCACAGCTGTTCCTGCAGTATACGCAAGTAGATTTGCTAGATGAGGAATTATACACTGTCCCCGAACACGAAGAACATTCACGTTTACTCCAGTCCATCGGGAGAACCTAAGGCTGCAGTTAAGAGCGTCGTGCTCCATCATGAAACTTAAATCCAGTAAGGAATCATGAATGTTCAGCAAGGGTTTAAAACGTACTTTCAAAGCGCGCACCTCCAGCGGCATAGTCATCCGTTGCTGATGACCGAAGGAGTTATACAATGATCCCCATGACGTCTGTTCCGGGATTGCCGCCCAAAGTTTTGAAAACTCTCACACATATATACGGACGATGAAACACAGAGCCTTGCAAGGAGCCTGAGTGCCTGGATAGTCATGTTGCGGTCCGCTAGAGTCGCTGCGCCTTCGCGAGTACCCAATCCTCAGCCTCTAGCATATGTCCTCCACAGCGCACGACGTCATCCGGATTACAAGCCGTAACCCCAAGGTCCGAAAGCAAGCCTTTCCCACACGCTGTGAGAGGAAAGTGGCAATGATTGCAGTGCCGCATGAACGTTCACCGCAGGCCGAAAGGCCCTGGCGGCCACGGCGGCGTCGGCATGCTAATCCATTGGATGATATGTTCCGGAAAGAGTCCGCGCTCGCGGGCAGCTCGAAAAATGCTCACCTTCAAAGGATCGTCTGAGTTCCCCAAATGTACTCCAAGTTGATGGGCTGCGGCGAGATGAGATTCATGAGAGCACGCCCGCCGACGACAAAGAGCGAGTGCACGAGGAGAGAGCGGACCGCCGGCGGACCGAAGGAGAGCAGGCGCGCTGGTGGCGGGAGCTTGAATCTCGAATGACCCACTCGACCGCGCACCCCCTTTCTGATTTTTTGAGATGAGCCTGCGCAATCGCTCTTGCCAGCAACAACCACCTCCTCACTGAGGTACACTTCCATGTCCAAGACGGCTGCGCTCCGTCGCGCCCTCTTCTCGCGCAGGACCCTTGCCGTCGTCTCCGGCGCGACGCTCCTTGCCGCCGGAGGAGGTTATTACTACCTCAACTCGGGGCCCACCTACCCTCCCTCAACGAAAGACACCAGGAGACCCCCTCCGCCATGGACGCCTCCTTCGAGGCAGCACATGCTCGACGCGCTCAAGGCGTCGTCGTCGAAGAAGGATGACGCTTATCCCGAAGAGTTTGACTTGCTCATCGTTGGAGGAGGCGCGACGGGGGCAGGTGTGGCAGTGGATGCCGCCAGCAGAGGGCTGAAGGTCGCCCTTGTTGAAAGAGATGATTTCAGCTCAGGTGCGTTGTTAGTTGGGTTCTGAGAAGCACGAATGTGCTGTTGTCGCACGCTGCGGCTCCCGTACACATGGCCGATCGTTCTGAGAAGCACCCTGCTAGCAATTCATATAGTTATGCATTCTCGATTATCGCATGAACTCACGTCACTGTGCTTACAGGCACCTCCTCAAAGTCGACGAAGCTGGTCCATGGAGGAGTACGCTATCTGCAGAAGGCTGTCATGGAGCTCGACTACGAGCAGTACAAGCTAGTCCGTGAGGCCTTGCACGAACGCCGCATTTTCCTCCAGACAGCACCATACCTATCAACTATGTTACCCATCATGTTACCCATCTACAAGTGCGTTTTTTACTTTCGCCTTGGTTGCACTTGGTGACATTCGCATCAGATACTGGCAGGTTCCTTACTACTGGGTTGGATGCAAGATGTACGACGTGCTGGCTGGAAAGGAGAACATGGAATCTTCGTATCTCATGAGCAAGGGCAAAGCTCTAGAGACTTTCCCGATGCTCAAGCAGGACGGACTCGTAGGCGCGCTGGTTTACTATGACGGTACGTCAAGCGGATTCTCAATATCGCATTATCAGACTTATGACGTGTTTCATAGGTCAACACAATGACTCTCGGATGAACATCGCTCTCATCATGACGGCTGTACAGCAAGGCGCGATCGTTGCGAACCACGTCGAGGTCACTTCGTTGCAGAAGGAAGCCGGTTCTGGCAAGCTCTACGGCGCACGGGTACAGGACAAATTCACCGGCCAGGAATTCGAAGTTCGCGCAAAGGGTATTATCAATGCTACAGGCCCCTTCACGGACGCACTGCTCAAAATGGACAACCCCGCACACGTCCCGATCGTCCAACCGTCCTCCGGCATTCACATCACGCTCCCGAACTACTACTCTCCGCGCACCATGGGTCTGCTTGACCCCGCTACCTCGGACGGCCGTGTCATCTTCTTCCTCCCGTGGCAAGGCAACACGATTGCGGGGACGACGGACACGCCTGCGGTCGTCGAGACGGAGCCGAAGGCACAGGAGGAGGAGATCCGTTGGGTGCTCGAGGAGGTCAGGCATTACCTGTCGCCGGACATTAAAGTGCGCAGGGGTGACGTGCTTAGTGCATGGAGCGGCCTGCGCCCGCTGGTAAGGAACCCGAACGCGGCGAGCACTGAAGGTTTGGTCAGGAACCACATGATTCATGTGAGCGATAGCGGCTTGGTCACGATTGCTGGCGGCAAGTGGACGACATACCGCGCTATGGCGGAGGAGACTGTGGATAAGGCTATCGAGGTGTTCGGGCTGAAGCCGAAGAGTGGCTGTGTCACGGAGTCCTTGAGGTTGGTTGGCAGCGAAGGCTGGAGCAGGAACATGTTCATTGGTCTAATTCAACGCGTGAGTCCCTTGCTCAAAGCCAACGGTGAATATACTGTTAATGCGCTTCTTTTGCAGTACGGCTTGGAAACTGAGGTCGCGAAGCACCTTTCGGATAACTATGGTGACCGCGCATGGACTGTATGCTCCCTCGCCCAACCTACTGGACAGGCCTGGCCATTGCACGGCAAGAGACTCGCTCCCGGATATCCTTGTGCGTATATACCCTCACACGTAAAACATCGCTAATGGTAACGGTCCCGCCATGCAGTTATTGAAGCCGAAGTACGCTACGCCGTTCGCTACGAGTACGCCGAGACCGCCGTCGACGTCATCGCCCGCCGCACCCGTCTGTCCTTCCTGAACGCACAGGCCGCGCTCGACGCCCTCCCGCGTGTCATCGACATCATGGCCGAGGAGAAACACTGGTCCAAGGCTCGCAAGGAGCAGGAGATGCAGAATGCGACGCACTTCCTCGCGAGCATGGGGCTGCGTCCAGGCGCAGTGCCGTTCAGCAGCGCAGAACCGCATGGCCTGCTCGAGCGGGTGGAGAGTGCGATCGGGCTCAGTGCGGGCGAGCGTAAGAGGCGCGGCGCGCCTGAGATGGTGTATAGCCGTGCGCAGTTCGAGACGGGCGAGGTGGACATGCTGAAGGAGGCGTTCGAGAAGCGTACGAAAGAGCCTCAGGAGAGGCTGAAGAACGAGGAGGCGTTCGATCTGGTCAAGAGCTTGCCTGGATACGAGGAAATCAAGGGCAAGGACTATGATTACGTGCTTGAGGAGGCTGGGTTCTCGAAGGCAGAAGACGTGGATTTCGACGACTTCGTCGAGGTAGGAATATCCAGCCTGATTTCCTACGGAAGGTTGCTGATATCTTTTCCACAGATCTGCGCCGGGCTTCGTGACGTTTTGTTCGCCCCTGTCCGCACCCGCGCATCCCAAACTGAGAGAACAAGGATACCCGTGGAGAAAAGCGGAGGCGGTGTATAAGCAATAGATCCATTGTTTTCCTCATTGTTCTCTGCGACAGGACTGATGTTCTCATGTGCACAATAACACACTATCAACTCATATCTTATATTCGTCCATATACTACGGTACTCGACAAACAGTAACGTATACCGATATCATAAGTTGTCCGCTTCGTGACCAACAGTCACTATCGCGTCGACTTCGGAGAGATCCGGGACGTCCAGCGAGAATAGGGGAGATAATATGGATGAATCAGCATAAAGGTTAGGGTACACGACGACACGTCTAATAAACCTACACCAGTCTCCTGCTAACGTGCGGCAACGTCAAGAATAAAGGAGAAAATGGGTACGATAGAATGCCCCTCTCCCCTTGAGAGCGAACGGAGGATAGTGTATGATTAATCATTCAGCTCCTGTCGCCACGGAGACGGCGAGCCAAAGCCAGATCCTTGGGTTGACTAATAGAGGATGTTAGCACATCTGCTAAACGTCAGGATGATACGGAGATACTCACATTGTGACTCGCTTGGCATGGATCGCAGCAAGGTTGGTGTCCTCGAAGAGGGACACAAGGTAGGCCTCGGCAGCCTCCTGAAGGGCCATGACGGCCGAGGACTGGAAACGCAGGTCCGTCTATTGATGCAGGTTAATTATCCACTGCGTGCATCCAAGCAGTCGATTGTTGACTCACCTTGAAGTCCTGCGCGATCTCACGGACAAGTCGCTGGAAGGGGAGCTTCCGGATGAGAAGCTCGGTCGACTTCTGATAACGCCTGATCTCTCGAAGGGCGACGGTTCCGGGTCGGAAACGATGAGGCTTCTTCACACCACCGGTTGTGCTCTGCAGATAGCGCTCAGATTAGCGACAACCGCCAACTCACCGATAGGGGTCATGTACTTACGGGTGCGGTCTTGCGAGCGGCCTTGGAGGCGAGCTGCTTACGTGGAGCCTTGCCTCCGGTGGACTTTCGGGCGGTCTGCTTGGTACGGGCCATGGTAGGACGAAAGTGTGAGGTGAGATAGAGTGCGAGGGGCGGGCTAAGCGTCGGTTGATGAGCGCGGGAAACAAAACGTTGGGCGGCATTCAACTGATCGCGCCGCCCGCCTTATATAGCGCGATGCGCGACGCGTGACGCGTGACACGTGCATATGACGCGTCTGTGGCTGTGCCGCTATTGTGGCTGGTGGCCCCGTATTTGGCAATTGTTCTTCGAGGGCGTGCATTCAAACAACTTACTCTTATCCGTAATCTTGGCCGCTGGACACCGTTGGCCACGTTGACAAACCTGAGCCGGAACTGGGGCTACCGCTGAGAACATTTCTGATGGTGGGAGGCAAGACGTGGCAGAAACAGCCTCAAAGATTGTCCAGCGAGGGAAACTTCATCCCTCTGGGAGCATCCTGCTCTTTAGCTCGAGGATTCTCGGATACCGTTCCACGGCACTGGATATCGTCGATTCTGTCTTGATGTGAGAACGGCGATCTCTACGACGGAGCCGCTTGTTGCCGAGGAAACGGAAGCCACCTCAGCCACTCAGGGTCACGGTAACCGACTCACATTATCCTTGTCGTCACACCCTATACATGCGACTCACTCGATGCTGCACATTCGCGCTTTTCGATGGATGGGGTGCCTATCGTTTGTCCGTCCACGAGCAACGTGGATCTGAAGAATGGTTCCACGCAAGACCGGTGCCTCTCCGACCCTGGTGCGTTATGAGAGAAAGCTGGTTATGGTAAAGCTTGATCTTACTCACCTACAGCGATCAATAAGGGCTTTGTCTCTCACATTCCGATAACGCCACGTCCTCATGCTTAATGCGCATCCTCTAGCGAACCGCGATTTCTCGGTCTGTGGTAGGACAAACCAAACACCTATCCGAACCAATGAAAGCCATGGCCCTCAAACTGCTCATGATCCTTCAGCTCTCTGGATGGGATACGGTCCTCATGACTATGATCTGACCAATGCATGGATCCGGATTCGCTATGACGCGTGGCCCACGCCTTCTGCCTAGGCATATCCGTCGAGGTCAGGTCCGTTCAAGAGCTCTCCTGGTGTTATGGTCTTGACGTGCGGCCAAGCTGTCACAAAAGCAGTAAAGCTAGCTAATGTATGGCATGTTCTGATCAAGGGAGATGACATGGCCACTTGTTGGCCATACCTCAGCGCATAAGGGCTGATTGTGCTTCCCATCCTTTCAGAAGGGTAAGATCAGTGTTGAGCGCTATAGTCTTACCCTTAACGCTTCGGCTACAGTGCAACGTTTTTGGGTAACTCAACTTGTTTCCCTGTTTCCAGTGTTTGGTGCCACCCGGTCTCCAAAGTGTGATCAGCGATTGTGACGGATTAGACTCAGCAAGTGCTATCTCGGTAACCTCTTCTCGGTAGCAGCTGGTTGTGTACTTATCCGGCCGTATAATGAATGGAACGGATGTCTTGGACGCAGCTTGTTCCGCACCTTCTCTGGATCCATTTGCCAAGCCCGCGTTCTATTCTAACATGCAAGCTCGATTGGACACCGAAGCAAGATGAACGGTATGGTCGCGGTAGAAGAAAGAGACTCGTGACAAAGGTGCGGCATCCCTGGGAATCCACGATCGGGGGGTGAGCGGACATGTAATGTCCCGCATGTTACATGACGCTCATATCGCCTTCACAGAGGCGAAAGAGTCGTGGTGATGCCAAAAGTGTGAAATGCGCGCTTATGCGAGACCATGCTAACCGTCGACACCAAGTTATATAGACTCCCTTCCACTCGATACAACGATCAAATAGTACTGATGTGCCCACGCTCATTGCCCTGCTTTGGACTGATGTTCATCATCATGAACTCGGACCGAAGGGAACTTACAGAGCAGGAGCAGGGAAAACGCGCACGTGCCGCAACACGCTGCAAACGCGTGTTTCGCTTGATACCGATGCTCAGCGAAGGTTGAGCCGGTTGGCACTGTCTCCAGCCTTCTCCAAAGCCTGTGCACCTCGGTCTTCTGCGGTACTATACAATGTATCTCGCGGATGATGTTAATGGTTCGTTCTTGCCCTCATGTCTTCGACTCTTTGTCAATGGATTGATGTGACCTATTACCGCTACTCAGATTCAGACCGCTCCCAGCATCGCAGCTCCTACGCCACTCTGCGTCGGACACGGCGTCCGCCCCCGCCACAGACTACGACGAGTCTAGACGACAGCTTCGACGCGGTGACTATGGAGGCGCCTACCGAGTGGAACGTGGGCACCGTCCATCACGGCGGCGATTACGAGGAGTCTATTACCGGGTATCAAAACTATGTTAACGAGATGGAGAGGAAGATGAGTCGGGAGGACGATTTCCAGCCGCCCGCCAACAAATCGATCGCTAATACGATCGGCCGCGCGACTCGCAACGTGTTCGGCAGCCTTGCTAGCGGGAAGGCCCTCAGGGGCAGCCCTGGTCAAAGGAGCAGCGCTGGCATGGCAACTCCGGACAATGCGAGGGTGGTCAATGAACGCAAAGCAAAGGTCGAGCTTGTTGAATCGCAGGTCAAGCAGGATGGGCCCGATCGTACCATCTCGCTATGGCGCGAGCGCGTCGCGGACAGCAGCGGCAGCGGCAGTCAAGCGGGCAATTACGTTCGCAGTGATGCGAACAACCACTCCCAGTGCACCAGAAACTCTGGATCTGGATCGCACAGGAGGACTAGAAGCGAGGGTCTTGTGGGACTCTACAGCAACTCTCCGAATAACGGCGACAGCAGGGATCCGCAGGCACCGAGGTCCAACAGGGTTTCGTTCGAGCGGACTGAGGTGAGCGGGTTATTTGTAGGCTCAGCAACATGTAGCACGAGTGCTCATCATGTCCCAGTATATGGTGGCGTACCAGCATGCCGGTGAAGCAGGGATCCCCACGCCAGTGTACGCGCGCTCTGAGCGAGGCAGTGTCATTCCCCTCCAACCCCCTGCTGCGGCATCCACGCCCATGAGCCCTGGGCCCCAGCAGATGGGCCAGACTCGCACCATCTCGCCGGCGGATAGGCGTTACGCAGGGCCGTCGTCTTTTGATCGCTACGAGGTAGGCTCTTGTCTTCACTTGTCGATACGAGACGGCTGAAGATCCACGTTCAGCATATGATCACCTATCCGCAGACGCCTCCCTACAGCAATGCAAGCTCTGGCAGCTTGCAGGGACGTGGCTCCACGAGCCGCCGGCAGTCGTCCTCCGCGCAAAGCAGACGGGCATCCGCACCCGTAGATATGCAAGACGTCGCGAGGGGACCGACGGCTTCGCCCGTTGATCTCATCCTGGCGTCGTGTGACCCCTCTTTACTGCACATTTCACCGGTGCTGGCGGAGCTCGGTATCCGGAAAGTGGAGCACCTCCGCGCGGTCGCACGGCTCAGTGAAGAGACGAGGGACAGGGAGGTGAAGGAAGAGGCATTGAAGAGGGGCGTCACCGTCGTGGAGTGGGCGATTCTCATGGATAAGCTGCAGATCTTATAGTGTGGGCTCGCTGTGCTCACGGTTCCTTCCCCGTTTTAACACTTCCTTTGTGTCTGACTCGCCCGTATCTCACTTTTTGTGTACCACCATTGTACCATATACGTTTCCTTGGCTCACAATATGCATTTCATCACTACAGCAACGCAGACGAGCGTGAACCACAAGAACTGCTAAATCGGGAAGACAAAGAAACCATTGCAAGGTTGATCAATTATAAACGTGCGATCTGTCCGAGCCGTGCAGATCGTCTGCCGCTGTCGAAGCAGGGAAGAGAAGCAGCACGTGGTTGATCCCAGCGGCCGACGTCTCCGTGAGGGAGTCTGAGGCCACAAGGACCAACGGGGCACACGGGGACACAGGCTGCCATCCGGTTGATGCGCCACCAGGGACTCGCCGATCAGCACTGATCAGACGAGATCGAGCTCGCAAAGATCTCCCATAGCAATCTTTCGCAATCCCGTTGGTAAAGATTTGGAGCATTTTTCGCCGACTTGAGGCTGATGAGGCTGTCAGAGACAAGTCTGTTGATCGTCGGTGTTTGCACCGAATTCCGGGGCTTGCATGTCTGTAACTGTGAGATTAGCAAGAACCAAGGTCAGAGGATAGATGCAGATGCTGATAATCTTTATCACAACGTACCGACGATTTTTGTCTATACGTGATCTATATAAACCCCCCTCCTGGTTTGACCGCACTACAGGCGATCGAGTCGCTAGATGTTGGGTTAGAGCCGAGTAGAACCATCCAACAAACCTCTTTGCATTTCATCGCATACATGAACATTGCGTCGAATCAGTCGAGAGCATAAGAGTACAGTAGCAGCAACAAGAAACACCTGAATAACTAAGGCAAGCAGATTTCCCATCAAATCGCAATCTGGATTTGCTTGCCACGCCGCAGAGACGTGTGGCGCAGGATACTGGCGGTCGTCAAACGCACCCCCTCCTTGCTAACTCCAAGCGACAACCTGCAACCTCCGGTCCCAAGTCGACGTACTCATAGTAACTGCACTACATTCTACCGGGGAAATTTGCGATGGGCCCGAACGTGGCCGCACTCAAACAGCGACTGGCGTCGTTCGCGCAGGCGCGCTCGGATACGCCCCTCAGCTCCAAACGGCGCACATTTGCCGGCCCACCTCTTCGGACGCGAGCCCAGGATGCACAGACTGGTCTATGGGAGTACAGGGACGATGTGCAGGATGTAATGAGCAAGGTTATCTTCCAGGCTGGAGTGGATTACGAGTGAGTAGGGTGGCTCGGCTTGATGGTTTCCAGAAACTGACTATCGTGCCTGTCTGTGGCTAGGACGCGGCCAATGTACGTCGTACCATGCCTGTACGAGAGCGAGGAGACTATAGCCTAACCTTCGTCCTTAGGGTCGTAATGAATGCATCGGTCTTGCCGGACCCACGAGAGATCGACTATGACATCCTGCTCTCGTAAGTGATACATCACGATGCGAGAGGCTGCTCGAAAGTTGAAAAATGATGTCGTAATAGGCGCATACTTTCATATCTTGACTTGTATGGTACGTGAATATGTCACCACAGGTTTGTGCCAACACATCCAACTTGCATTTAGTCGAATCGGACTATACGGTCGTGTTCTTCGCTGCGGGAGGAAGGTACACCCCTGGGTGGAGCTGGGTATGGAAAGCATATCGCAGTCTCAGCCGGAAGTATCGCAAAAATCTCAAGAAACTGGTACGTTCTCCTGCAACCTTCACTCTTCACGGACTCCTGATATATTTCCTTCCTGCTTAGTTCATCGTACACTCAACGTTTTTCACGAAAAGTAAGTCCGATTATTCAAGATGTTCGCATCAGTTAACGAGCAGCGGCAGTGCTGTTCTCCTTGGCTGGCACTATCATCAGGTTGCTGCTCAGCCCACATATCCTCTATTCACCGTAACTTACACATCCCATCACAGTCCAAAATTCTATCGAAAAATCACGTACATTAACACGCTCTCCGAGCTCGCGTGCTACATACCCTTGACCCAGATCGACATTCCGCCCGCAGTCTATAAGTGCGTGCATTCCACTTCCAAGCTTCGCACGTTATCGAGCTGCTCATCTTCCCCTGTACCCTGGACAGGGAGAATCTGAAGCATGAGAAGCAGATTCAGATGCCGATGCCTACTCGGGCGGACTTGTTTGGAGTGCCGCTGGAGGAGTTGATGGGGTATGACGGCGAGAAGGGTGGCCTTCCGAGAGTCGTCAAGGATTGTATACAGTACCTTCGTTCAACCGGTATGTTGTACCGGCTGAAGCGTATGGGGCATATTCTGATCGGCAGACAGGCATGCAGGACGAGGGCTTGTTCCGACGCTCGCCAAATTCTGTGCTGCTCAAGCAGGTGCAGCAAGCTTATGATCGAGGTATGGCCTTTGATACCGACCATTTCAAGTGCTGATCGTATCATAGGCCAAGTCGTGTCCCTAGATACATTTGGTGACCCGCATCTCGCGGCTGTCCTGCTGAAGAAGTATCTCCGGGACCTGCCTGTCCCTCTCTTTCCCGAAGATTTATACGCAATGATTTCGCGGTGTCCTGCGCCGACCGATGACACATCTGACATGTCTAGCATCACATACATCCGCGAGACGTTGCTGCCCGAACTCCCTCATTGCTCGTATATCGTGCTCAGCCATGTTCTCCGTGAGTGATTCCCAACCATTTCCCCCATCACATGCCTCGCTAAAAGGACGGTACTGTAGAACTCCTGCACGACGTATCGCTGCGCTCTTCTGTGAACCGCATGGACGCACAGAACCTCGCTGTCGTAATCACGCCCAACTTCGTGTCAGGCTCCAACCCTCTTCGCGACGTTATGATGTGCTCCACACCCAGCGGGATGACACCTTTCGCCAGCTCTCCATTCTCACCCACAAATCCGACGATGGGTAAGACAACGCTCGGCATGCTGATCAAGCACTGCATCCAGCGGTACTACGAGGTGTTTGACGAAGTGCCCGACCGCAGTGAGGCCGTAATGCAGAGCGCATTTCAGGTACGGCCATCCACACCGTCGTCGCCTTCCAGTCCTACGAAGACGCGACACAGGGAACCTATGCACGAAGATGAGGACATCGACGACACAATGCTCGTCATGCCCGTCGGCCCTCTCCCCGCCACCAATCCCGGCAGTCACTCCCACAGTTCCCAGCCGCCACCGGTCCCCAGCAGGCCACGCGACCTGAGTAAGCGCGCGAAGGAGGCACCCACGGCGTGGTCGGCGCGCACGGTCGGGCAGAGCGGGAAGGGCCCGAACGCGAATGGGAGCACGTACACGCCGTACGGCACGGTGAACAAGGCGCGCTCGACGATCAGCATCGAGCGTGGGAACCCGTCGCGGAAGGGCTCGATCTCGGTTGGGAGGGGGACGTCGCGCAAGGCGTCGGGCGCGGGCGTCGAGGCGGTTGGAATCACGGCGGCAGGATTCTTCGCTGCACCCGAGACGGCTCCGCCGGTCCCGATGCTACCTTCGCAGATCAAGGCGAATGGAGGTCACTTGCCATCGGCCTCATGATGATTAACAGTTGTTGTCGTGATGCTGTTAGGACGGTTTGAGGAATGATGACTGTATTTATCGGAATGCGGGTGGGTGTGGACTCGGATCTGATTGTAATATTTTATTTGTCTACCTGTCGGTGCCGACGGTGTATTCCATCTGATTGTAATATTTTATGCATCTAGTATTTGTCGGTGCCGACGCTTGCATTCCATCTGCATCTCCTCTGCTCAGGAGCGCGTCGCATAAATGCTTCACGTGATGAGACTTGCTCAATCTCCAGCGACAAGGAGACGCGCCACAGCGGACTCGCTCGCGGGCCACACAGCGCTCGCGGGATGCCGAGGAGCCGGAGGCGAATGGCACGTGGCCGACCGAGTCAATGATCCGTCACGATCCGTGTGATCACCAAGAAAGGAAGGTCTCGAGTTTTTCAACCTGACTCGAGTCAAAAGGATAAAAGGACGGTCGACGTGCTTCTTCCCCTCGACCCTCGCCCTGTCTTTATGCCTCTCGCTGCTACCTTCCGCTGCTTTCTGTGCTTTCTGTGCGTTTCCTGGTTGCTCTGCGCATTTTTTCTCGCTGATTTCGAATGAAATACCTCTCCGGCGACTAATTGCTGCTCCTGGTCCATTCCGAGGGGTGCGCATCAATATCCTGGGAAACCGACGGTCCGTTCTTTCTGACCTCGATGCGTTGCTTATCGCTGGCAAGCGCGCCTCGCCAAGCATGCGGGGCGTCCGAACTCTCCGCGCCAAGGCCTTCAGCCGCAAGAATGTAAGATACTGTGTACCTCGTTTCAACGCCGGGCGCCTGTGTGGCGGCAGCGTCGACGGCGAAGTTGTGGGAGATGTCCTGTGACTGTCCATCAGGTTCGTCTGCACTGCCTCGTGTGTGAGTGTATGATACCACCGCGCATTCGCAGGTGATGTTCATGTTCGTTGGCGTCGCGCTCGACGAGAGCGGTACACCCCCTCCCGTTCAATTTGCAATGCGTCCCTGAAGGCCGCTGACGGTCACGGAACGCCTGCTGGTGCCTGGTCCTCCCAAGCGAGCATGGCTCGGCTGGACGGCGAAGCTGCGCTGTGTCAGCGTCGCGCACCGCTTTCCTCCATTGGCGCTCCGGTATCGGACACTCAGTGTTGTTCTGTGGCTTGCTCTCTCTGTTCGGGGGACCTGGGCTGCTCTGCGGCGACTTCGATGTGGTCTACAGCACATGCTCGATGCGCTGCGTGAACTCTATCCTGCGGCTTCGCGTCGCTGCGGCCTGCGTCCGCGGCGGCGTGGTCGTGGATGTGTCCAGTCGGATGTCGAGGAGCGGTGGTTCGGACCGCGCATGAATGGGGGTCCTCATGGATCCGGACACGTCGGGTAATATCGCCTAACGCAGTGGAAGCCCTGAGCCCTATGCTGGCCCTCTGCCCAGGATGCGTCAGCGCGCTCTCACCGTCGGCGAATGCGTACTTCAATAGTGTTTGGCGGACGCCACGCAATATGCCACCGCAGCGGGTTCGTGGACTCTTGGACGACTGCGACGTGTCTGCGCAATGTCGAGTTCTCTGGCGACGTGTCTGCTGTGCACTGCGCTGTCGGCGATGCTGTGCGACATACGGCGCATCAGCATTTCTTATCGACGAGCTGCCCGTTTCGGAGAATTGACTCGTCCTTGGATCTCGGGAGCGGTTGCTGTGCCGAGTCAATTCGTGGCTGCGATGCAATTTGGGCCACAATCCACGGAAATTATACGTGCCTTTGATTGGGACGAGCGGGCGCTCTGACGGGATTTGCACTGGATCTGTAGACAAAGTCGGGTAGCGTAGACGCCGGATGCATATGACGGTTTCCAAATTAGTGCATGCAGCGCCTCTGAGTGTGAATTTTCATCAAGAGAGGAGATAAAAAGCCGGCTCGAGTCAATCTATCGTCACCCGCCCTCCTCTCCTCCCACCACTAGTCCAGTCATCCTCGGGCACATCCTCGCTCGAGGCATTCCAAGGAGTCAGAGTTTTGTGAGTCTTCTCCCCATTTCATCGTCCCCGTCCGCTGTTATTCGTCGGCGTGTCAATTATCGTCTCTTTCTGCGGCAGCGCAGTCAGTGTATACGCGAGCGAGCATGTTCTCATCGTTTAAGGAATCGGCGCCGACCGTTTCGTTGCGCGAGCCTCAGGCTTCATCGCCACGTTGGACGTATTACCGCACAGACATTGGCGCACCGCCTCAGGCGGCATCGGGCTCGCGACTCAATGTTTCTAGCATTGCCATCGAATCGCCGGCGGACATTAATGGGACAGATGCCACTCATGAGAATCATCCGCTGATTTCCCGCCCGTCATCTTCCAGACCCCCTAGCCGGTTGTCAGAATCGCCGGCAGCTCTCGCGCATCCTCACCCCGCGCCAACTACAACCTTGTTTCCGAACCGGTACACTGAACACCTATATCGCCGCCAGAATGTTCGGCCTTCCTCTGTAAGCGTGTCCTCTCGCAACCACCCAGGCCCAAGCACGTTTCAGCACCATGGTTCTCCTCACTTGTCTACTCTTGAAAGTTCCCAACTTTCAAGCTTCTCTCCATCCCAGAATGGCTCGATAAGCTCGACTAGCGCTCGTCTTCGGACATCTCACCCGGTCTTCCACACGACCTCGGACTTAGCTGCACATCATGGCATCCCTCAGTCTCTGCCCCCTGTGCCTCGTACAACTCGCTATACAACAGATCCCTCATCCAGTTCTAGTTTACCAGTTTCCTCGTCGTCCATTGACGCCGATCTCGACTTTTCCGCCATCTGCTCGAATTACTTGAATATGCTATCGCAAAAACCAGAAGAAGGGGAAAACACCGCTGATGCGGTCGTGCCGGAGGCGCCTGCTCACGACGTTGTTCAGGCGCTCATGGGCGTTCTCACAGGTGAATCGATACCCGGACCTTTATCCGCGTGTATGACTGACCAGTCATTCCCGGCAGCCCCTACTGCCTCCCCCGTGTTCGACATGATGAACGACTTCACGAGCGAGTATCTGACCTCGCCGTACGATGATTCACCATTAGACGAATGGCTCAGTACCCCCGCTCTCGACTCCGCTGACATCGGTTCGGACATCCTCACGAGTCCAGCAATCGCCGACACGGATGATTTCAATGACTTCGGTGGCACATCTCTCTTCGGCGAGTCGTTAGGGCTGACGAACGCGATTTGCGATCAAACTAAGGTCGCGCCACGTCCTGCCCCTGTTGGCCCACTGCCGACACCATTCGACTTCAATGACATGTACCGCATGCCATCGCCAACCACTCCTGCCCTCGATCCCATGTCGCTCGACCGCTCGCCACACCTTTCCAATGTTGCGCCACCTGCACCACCACGTCGACGAAACGCACCGACGGGCACGCGCAAGAATATCACCCCGGAGGCGCTAGTACCTCTCGACGCGCCCATTCAGCCTCGCAAGTATGTCACGCCATCGGCCACGTCTCGAAAAGAGGTGCCTGCTGTCTTCGCTAAGAAGCGGTCATTGTCTGTGGCGTTTGGCGAGGATGGTGAGCAGGTAGACGCTGCGAACCTTCCTCTGTCCGACTTGGAAGCGATCGAAGCCAAGCGGCGACAAAATACGCTTGCCGCGCGACGCAGCCGAAAGCGCAAGCTCGAGTACCAGCGGGAGCTGGAGGTGAGCATGGAGCAGGAGCGGGCGGAGAAGGAGATGTGGAAGTCGCGGGCGATCATGTACGAGGCGCTGCTACACAGCCACGGACTCGAAGTCCCATCGTTTGATCCATGAATCGTACGTTCACGTCGTCTTATCATTCCCTCTCGCTGGCCTCTAGCATTCGTATACCTTATATTTCACATATCTTTTGCATCGTTCTCATTCGCTGTCTCGCCGCCACTTATCAGCAGGTAGCCTTCGCGCTTCATGTACCATAATTCACCACAATTCCCCTATCCACTTGCTAGGAGCGCGTCGTACCCCCTTTCCCCAATGCTGCAGTCTGCTTGGTTCACACATATATCCGATGAACGTAGTGATGTTTAACCGCGATACTGCTGTCTAGATCTGTACGTATCGCGACTTATCCCTCCCCATCGCTGTGCTCCCATTCATACGAAAAATTCTTTACATACATATCATGTTTACACGTCGTCAGTAGCCACAGAACGAAAATACACACTATGTTTATGTTCACATGAATTCCTTAGCGTGAGCGACTGCGAACAGCGATTAACAGACAACATTTTCATATCATGAACTCGTCCGTCCGCTTCACTATGCATACCCGTTGTGGCGTGCATACTTTGCGGCTCTCCTGCTCTTCGCCGGATGTCATGCTCCAGTACGATCTACAAGGACACGATTGCGAGTGAGAGAGGTGCGTGCGGGATGGACAGAAGACATAGTACGGCGGAAGGTCCGGCTTAGTTGGGCAGGATGAAGGTTCAGAATGTGTCCGCTTGTGGGACAACAACTGTCTCGATATTTTCACGAGTGCTCCTGTCGGCGGCGGCGGCGCAGGCAGCGCATAAAACTCGAGGCTGGTCGATGGTGTCATAGCAGAGGTCACCTTGACGGGAAAGCACGCCTTCACGCCGCTGAGCGGCGAGCCAAAGGAGACCTCGACTTCGAAGAAATACTAAGAAAGATACGTCAACGGACCGAGGACGAGCTAGGAGCGGCGTGAACGTGACGTTGAGCGTACCTCATTCTTGATGCTCTGTGTATGGAATGTTGGCGGGCATCGTAGCACGAACGATGAGGAGAATGTCGTCCTCTGGCGCCACTGGCCCTCCATCGGGTCGCCGACCGACGGCCGCCACTCCTTACCCGACTCGTCTATGTCGACGTGGTGAGACCCGTCCATCCCGCCCGCGATGTCGACCTTCTGTACGTGCGAGCTCTCGCCATGATACGGGCTCACGGTGTACTTCAGGGTGCGGTGGAGGGTCAAGAACACGTCCTGTGGTCGCTGCGGCGGGGCCGGCCAGATGGTCTTGACGTCGGCGCCCTTGTGCGTGGCCGCGCTTATGGTGATGATGGAGATTTTGAAGGGGATAGGCACGAAGAGCGGAAGCGCGCGGATATCTGGGAGGGAGTACTGGGGCGTTTGAATTGTCGATGCATGTTCGTAATTTGAATACGGAAGAGCCGCGCACCTCGATGAATACATCGGCGTATCTGCCCCATGGGCTTCTGCGTATCTGGTGCTCGACGCATTTTGTCGCCCAGCGTCCACTCCACCCAACCCGGAGGAGACCGCGCGAGCGATCGCCGTCGCGGTCTTTTGGTACAACCACCATGGGGCCCATAATTCTCTCATGAAGACCGTGGTGGCCTATCGGCAACACTTCGATGTAATAGCGTATGTATGCTTCCCCATGGGCAGTGGAAGCCTCGAAGGACGGCGGCAAGCTTACGGGAAGCGCGAGCTCGAAATCGGCGCAGATTACATCGGTACCGAGAGGGGGGTTGATTGTATCCAACGTCCACACAGTGCAGTTCGATCGGACGTTAGACTGTTCGTCGGATACCGATGTCATCGGACCGTACTGGTCCCGTCTATGCCACACTTGCGTAAATGTCATCCTAGGACGATCCAGTTTATGATTGCGAATGAGACGCACAGGAAAATGGTCTCCCGCAATTCTACCACGACCTCTTCGACGCGATGTTCGCAAAGGAGGGGGACTTTAAGCTCGACATAGCCTGCCACAGTCCCTCCCGCCACGTAAATGTGTGGCGGGACGTGCAAAGTGATGCACTCGCACATCCTAGGAGTGATCCCAACAGCTGGGAGTCGCTGCTCTATCGTTTTGCCAAGAAGGCTATATAATGCGATTTGATCCGGGTGTTAACGGCGAATGGGCCGCAAGTGCCTCTCTTTTGTGAGATAAGGGAATTCTGGAGCTACCGATCCAGCTGATTGATGAGATGGTCTCGGAGAAACCAACGAGCACGTTATGGCCAATATCGTGCGCCGTCTCGCAGATACGGGGATGAATGCCGTGCACTGGCAATCCCAGTAATAGGCGTGTTGTGTTAGTTGGTGCCGCGAATTGGCTGCGTTAAGTTAGCATAGGGAGTCCGAGGGATGCGGGAGAATGGATGAACATCACAGGAATCTCTGCAGGACAACACAGCTGGGATGGCAACCGAGTCCGGCACTTGTTCGGCCTGCAAGATGATGATTGTGATGTGGCCCAATGGAATATATAATGCCGTCGATTTCTTTTCCATGACTCACTTGATTCATAACTCCCTCTCTTGAAGCGGCTCTTCTGCTGCTATATATGTGGCTCATATACGCGTTTGATGACAACGTACAACGCAGATTCCAACCTCAGTGGGAGGCTGCTCCAGAGCCAATGTATCCTATGGTTTACGGCACCGGGTCACATCAAAGAGCGATCGAGTTTCGCTCCAATCACCAGCGACGAGATTGTCTTTAAAAGATGAAGGGAGGATTCGGTAGCACGGCAGTCGTACGTGGACGTTGGAAAGTGCAGCACACTTCGCGGGACGAATTCATCAAATGCAACATAACTCTGGGATCACTGTGGTGGCCACGAATAGAGAATTGGAAGACACGTGCATCTTCAGCAACCTACCGATAATTGCCGGACTATACGACTTCCAGCCTAGTAGAGGGTATATTGCGAAGTGGCGATCCGGCAGATGGAAGACGTCATCGCCATCGGTAAGTTCATCAAACATTCAAGTGCCGTACGAAACTGAATGAACACAACAGGTATCGCGTGCAAACCTTATCTCATGTGGCGATTGCCAGGATGAGAAGAGCAGAGTGCAGGGCTGTTGCATCTCGATGACTGCCACAAGTTCTTCGAGGACGCCGAGGGTGGGCGAGACTACGTCCTCGCAAGCGTGAAGGAGGGCGATTGTCATCCGGATGTGGATATTCTTTCGACACCGGCGCCATCTTCTTCACTCACAACGGCAGAAGGCTTGCTGATGCCTTCACTGGCTTGTACTTTCCGCACGACATGCGGGATGTGTATGCAGCTATTGGCGCGCAGGGCCGCAGCAAATTCGAAGTCAATTTCGGAGGCTCACCCTTCCTGTGGCAGGAGGGTAATCAATATCAACGCAAGCTGGAAACTCACATAAAAATCGGTCCTCCGTTATATAGACGTTAATTAATGTGATAGGATATTGCCACAGTGGCAGCGGGCAGCAGAACAATGCATGCAGAGGTCTCTCGGCAGCGTTTCTGGCGCATTGCAGAACACTCGGTCGCATGCTATATCAGCGCCCGAGCAACCCATAAACTTGTGATGGATTTCTGCCGAACGGTGCAGGCGTGACCCTTGGCGTCATCAGCACTTCGATGCTTCTGCATGATGCACGTTACTTGTGTATATCACATTCCTGCCATGATTGGGCGTAGGGTCGACAGCACCGAACACGCACAGCATAGGATGACTTTTCAGGTGGAGAGAGTCAAGTCTTTGCCACTGGGTGGCGTGGCACCGACTGAAGTGGCACCGGCGCTCAACATGTCCATCGACTTGCTTCAAGTCCCCATCTCGGTCCTCAGACTCCGTTGTATTCAACCTTCCTTGGATCATTGAATAACGTTAAATCTGCTGGACTTGACTGAAGCCTTTGGATACACGTCGCCCATTCTTTCGAAAATTCCATGCCATTGGCTTAGTACCGATACCGAGCGACCTGTTAGAAGTGGAAAACACCACATCACGGACGACCTCCTTAGAATCCTCGAGAGGAATCTCCCGCTCACGTAGGAAGAAAATGCTTCCCTCTCGCAATTCGGGCACATACGACAGATTAGAGGGCGGCATGCCCCAAGCTCGGGTGAGCACTATGCGCTTCGCAGGGTGGAAGAAGTTTGCGCTGGCGACCGTCGTCATTATTGGGCTTGTGTACATTTTTGGCCCGAGCAAGGAGAGAATCATGCCGAGCACTATGCCATGTAAGTTCCTACGCCATGTTGCATGGTCTTCCAGCGATCTGAGCAAGTTATCCCACTGCAGCTGTTGTTTTTCCCGGACACTCCGATGTCGACAATAGCTCTCCGAAAGTACCAGAGCCGATCCCCATACCGGTCAACGGTGACGAAATGATACCAAAACCGCCTTCTTCTCCACCGACTGGACCAGAGAATGACCCGGATCTTTCCAAAACCGTACACTGTGTCGCACCATACAAGCCTACACTCCGTCTTGTCCAGTACGCGCTCATGATTGACGCAGGCTCAACCGGCTCGCGCATCCATATCTACAAGTTCAACAACTGCGGGCCATCCCCCTCGTATGAGTATGAGGTATTCCGTATGACACAGCCTGGGCTCTCGGCGTATGCAGGACGGCCACAGGACGCCGCGCAGAGCCTCGACATGCTTCTGGACGAAGCGGTGAAAATCGTTCCGGAGGCATTGCGTCCGTGCACACCTATTGCGGTGAAGGCAACGGCTGGTCTGCGTTTGCTCGGTGCAGCAGAGAGCGCGGCAATCTTAGAGGCAGTACGCCAACATCTGCACCAGAAGTATCCATTCAGTCTACAGGATCCAAATGGAGTAGTGATTATGGATGGCAAAGACGAGGGCGTGTACGCATGGATCACCGCGAACTACTTGCTGAACACGATCCGGGGCGACTCTGTCGCGGGCACACCGTCGTACGCCGTGCTCGACCTAGGCGGTGCATCGACGCAGATCGTCTTCGAGCCTACATTTGACAGGTCGGACTCGAAGCTGGAGGAGGGAGAGCACAAATACGACCTCACATTTGGTGGCAAGAAGCATGTGCTGTACCAGCATTCATACCTTGGCTATGGCTTGATGCGTGCACGCCAGAGCGCGCATCGCATCGTGGATTTCATGGGTTCGCTACGAGGCACAGGGAGCGGCGCCAATGCGACCATTGCAAATCCTTGCCTTGCACAAGGGACGTCGAAGGTCGTGGAGATCGAGGACGAGCGGTATGATGATGACAGGTTCAGTGTCACTATGGTTGGCCAGGACGTGGGCTCGTTCGAGGCGTGCAATCGCGTCGTCGAGCTTGTCATGGCTAAGGACTCGTGAGTACCTGTATAACATTCTGTATGATTATTTCACTGACGGTGCTATGCTTAGGATCTGTGAAGTTAAGCCATGCTCGTTCAATGGTGTCTACCAGCCTTCGCTTATGGATACCTTCCCATCCGGCAAGATTTTCCTACTCTCTTACTTCTATGATCGCCTTCAGCCATTCCTCGCAGCTGACCTCACACTTGCCGCCGCACCGCTGCACGTCTCAACCTTCGCTACACTTGCCGAGCGCGTCTGCCTCGGCAAGCCGTCATGGGAGACGCACTGGGGCGGCAACGCTGACCTCATGGAGGAGCTCGAGGGCCGTCCCGAGTGGTGCCTCGACCTTACGTTTATGCATGCGCTGCTCCGGCTCGGATATGAGCTCGGTGGCGAGCGCGATGTGCAGATTGGGAAAAAGATCGATGGCACGGAGCTTGGGTGGTGTTTGGGTGCAACCCTTGCAATGGTGGGCGGAGATTTGAAGTGTAGAGTGTAGGCGGCACGCAGAGCGTGTCCGGCTACGTGTTGTGTGTTTGTGTTTTCAGGATACTTTAGTACACCTTCGCTTATAGTGTGCGAGATAGTGACTGTTTATCTAGTCATCAAGGACAGTTCATGTTGTCTCTCCAATTCATACAATCCGGGTTCTGTTGCGTGCTCTTTAAGACTACAATCTGAGCATCCAGCGTTGAATATTGAGATGTGATATCTGAGTCGGGGTCATATCGCCATTGATATTATCCTAGACGTATAGTATGCACCGGGTACTAGAAAATTGTAAAGCAAATATGCCAGCTGCACAGACAGTACGAGAATGACGTAAACGATGCGAAAATAGATGAAATAACAGATACGTTACAAGCATCATAGTCGGTCGCTTGCACTAATGCTGGCCTGTAAGCCCATTCTTCAGATGAGTATCCACCTTCCACTCTGCCCCATTTCCCTCAGCCCACTTAAACGGCTCATATCCAAAATTCACCTCCAAGTTATTGGAGCCTTGCATCCCAATCGCCGCAAAAACATCCACCTTTCCATGCGGGAAATAGATGCCGGTGAACGCGTCCGGAAGGCGTACCCCGTTGTATGTAAAGAAGAGCGCGCCGGTGGAGAAGTGGTACCCGCACCCGACCACATCTCCCTCGGCGATACGCGAAATGCCGATAGCGTACTTCTGGCCAGACTGGGGATTTTCGTAATACGTGCACAGATCGTCGAGGTGCAGGGCTGCGCTCAGCCTGTCGAAGCCCGGGAGGCGGCCCTGCGGGGCCGGACGGCAAGCCGTTCCTGTAGTATCATTGAGTTAAAGCTCGCAAAGAAGAGAAAAGGAAGCAGGATCTAACCCAAGGCGATGATACCACCCATCTCCTTGATCTTAACTTCGTAATAAACTCCTGCGCTCTTCTGTATACCGTATTTCCCGGCGATAAACGGCAAGTCGCTCATCAAGCAACACTGCTTGCAGTTATCCGTGGTGTTGACGCGAATTACACCTGCTGCGTCGCTTTCATCGCTGTCGCCGCTTTCGCATGCTTCATCATTCTCGCCTGGCTGATCGTCCTCGCGATGATCGACCGTCCCATCGAAGTAGTCAAATCGGTATTGCAGGCACCATGCCCCTGTGCCTTGCCTGTGTATGGTGCCGCTGTAGGCTCCCTCGTAATCATTCGGTTCGTCGACGGGGTGCTCGCTACAGAATTTTGTCGCGTCAGAGTTTGAATTGGGAGAGAATTTGCTCGTCATTCTGTTGAGTAGTGTGTATCAGAAAAGAAGATGAAGAGAGAATGACTATGAGGGATTGCACCTGAAAGCTGCTGGACGATGAGATGGGGATGATGATGAGCTGGCTCATCTTATATTCCTGTTCGAGCGACACGCGAAGGTAGGATAACCACGACCGTCGGACCGTTCATGGCACTTAGCCTTCTGTATCAAGACGCCTTGTGCATGGAAGGTGGCTCATTCCGTCAGCTGTCCGACACACCAAGCATGGAGAGTGGATGCACCGATACATTTAGTCTGCATGTGATAGCAGGAAAACATGGTCAGTTTCCATTTATTGCGTGCAGTGAGTACATTCAGCATGTCGAATCAATGAGCCTTTCACCATACTCAACACTAGCATCCTGGCACATGAGAGGTTAAGGAACCTCTACGCATGGCTAGAAATGCCTGGTCCATATCAATGTGTTCAGGAAGGCCATCAGTACAACTTTTGAATGAACTTGTGACCGTCCTTATGACCCTTGGTAGTCAGTGCTTCTGATATTCAAAAAATCACAATGAGCGATTCAGATGACTTTGACATCGTCTGGGTTGGGTCCCGGATATTGGCGAGAGCAGGACGCATCCTTTGCGTGTGTTGGTGCACGTCAAAAGACACAAGTCGCACCATACTAGTGCCATGCCCACGCTGACAACGGAAACACCGGGTACTTAAATTGAGTGGACAGCATCGAGCGCACCCGCACGCCATCCAAGTCCCGATACATTACGAGTTGTCATAGGGTAGCACACCATACACGCAGGTACAGTTCCGTCAAAACTCACCAGTGAATGTGTCTCGCACAGTAGTGCAGCACCGTGCAGCACCACTGTCAAGGACTCTTTGCCGGCCTTCATCAGTTTGAGCGTGATAGATTTGGAGTGGCTAAGGACTGAAACTTCGCACCGTCGCGGGCCATGCCATTATAGCCACCACGAGGTTGACTTACGTCACCAGCGAAAGGCTTGGAGGACGGCGAAAAGATAGCCCGGATTCCTCGTTGGGTACGACGGTCAGTATGCTGGCCACCTTCCTTCAAGCTCGTGGTGTTAACTCTGCAAGTCCGTAGCGTCACGAAACAAGGCAATCACTTCAAAGAAAGTACCGACTCCTAGTATGAGAAAGGTGCGAGATTTCCTTTGACTTTCCCCATCTATGACATCCTATCATTTCTTGAGCTAAGAAAATGAAGGCGGGTAACTCTTCGCAGCTCAATACTGAGCGGAGCGCGGAACGGGGAATTTGGGTATAGCGGAGGAAACCGAAGTCACGCTTTGGCGCCGTGGCTGAAACGTCTGGCAGTTCTTGCATACCCTTGCATACCTCGCAGCTCGGGATATGATCTTCTGCCCAAACTGCGCCAACCTGCTCATCATCTCTGCTGAGACAGGTTACAACAAATGGGCCTGCAACACTTGCGCGTATGAGTTCCCTATTACGAAGCAGGTGAGTGTCGTCCGATTATTCGGTGGGAAATGGAAACAGAACTTCGCTGTTCTCGCTAGATGACCTCGCGTACGAAGCTCAAACGGAAGGAGGTCGATGACGTCCTTGGCGGTGAGGAAATGTGGAAGCATGCGGACTCGACAGCGGGTACGTACAGTTGTCTGCAACCTCCGTCTCGCCTTCCTCGCTTAACTCACTTCACTATTCTTCAGCAACGTGCCCAAAGTGCGATTTCGGGCGGGCGTATTTCTATCAACTCCAAATTAGGTCCGCCGACGAACCTATGACGACATGTGCGTCCATCTCTCTTCATCTGTTCCGGTGTGTAACGGGCTGACGAGTGAGACGTCTGGCGGGTTCATAGTCTATCGGTACGCCTGATTGACTACCTCCCGCTGATCCGTGCTGATGCAATTCATCTTGCTAGGTGTGCATCGTGTGGGAACAACTGGAGAGAAAATTGAGGAAGAAGAGCTGGCACGGCCGCCTCGGAGGTCATCCTCCGTTCTCGTCATACTCACTCCCTCTTCAGCGCGTGCCGCACCGCCTCGTTACGCAGATTTCGCAACGAGATCTACTCCGACTTCCCCAATGCAATCACGCATGCATTCTCGATGACCTCGGGGACTGCTCGTGGTACGCACATCATTATCTACGGTAAGGGTTTTTGTATCGTCAATTTTCGCATTCAGTCCGCCATGTTTCTCCCGTGCTTGTATTATGGCGATATAAATGATTGCTGTCACACAGCGCGCAGCCGCTCTTCAAGGCAATTCCGCTCTAGTCGGCTGCTTACTCACGGCCAGCATGGAAGTGTGGTTTCTTGTTCTCTGTTATATTGCCTCCTGGCAAGTAGGCTACCCTGGTCCACGGCTTGACACTTGCATCGAATAACTGGGCAGCCTTCAATTACAGACGACTTTCTCGCACACCGTCACTTCAGCCGCTGAATACGGAAAACGGCCGTCGCATTGACTACGTCTCGCAGAGCGCGCCTTTACATAAATAATGTGCACCGCGCGAATATGGCGATATTGGCGTGCATTCTAATACGTGTTACTGTCAAACAAAATAAATGAAGTGGAAGACGGTGTCTCCTCTCCGAACCATGAAGCAGTGAAGCACTGGACGGACTTGGGTAAGTCGGAGTAGAGCCAGCACCGTGCGATCCCGCTGTGGCAGATGGGGCACGATGACATGTTCTGCCGTGCTGTGGTCTTGGGCGTGCGCGCGGCCTCCTTCGAGTGGGATTTAAGGTTACGGATCCCGAACCTGGCAGCTACACGTACGATTAACTCGACATCGGCACGGGACCTGTAACCGGCGTGCAGAGTGACATGTCTTTCCCGACAGGACGGACCTTCGCTTGAGCAGCGTCGTCAAAGCATTGCCAACCGCGGGGTGAACGACCCAGAACCCTCATTGTTCTGAGAATTCCGCAATTCCGCACCTTTACCTTGTTGCCACTTTTGCCACTCGATGGTGGAGAGATCCACAGAGTGAGTTCGGACCACAGGAAGTCTTCAGTGTCTTGCAGAAGGCAGTGTTTGTCCGTCACGCATCGGTGGCCCTTCGATCGGCGAGTGCCTGCCCGCTTCGTACTAGCCGTCGTCTAGATAGATACGACACTTCCATGACAAGCGAGGGAAGGAGGACTGTACGCGCCGAATGTTTCCCTCCACGGCCCGCGGCGATCAGTGTCGAAGCGTTGTCGGTGCGCGTACCTTCCGTGGAGTCTATCGCCTTCTGTGGTCGCAAACTTCCCTGCGGTCGGATTACTGTACGACTGTGACAAGAAGGGCGCGCGATGCCTGCCCTACGGCGCCCACGATGAATGATCGCCCTGTTCTCGCACGATGCATTCGGTTCGTGTAGGAACACACTGACATACCGCCGGATATGCCCCCTGGCGCTACCATTCCAACAGAGGACTCATTTTGTTAAGCGTTCCGCCATCTTGGAAATTGCGATGCGATCCAACGTGAACCTCGCGCTACGAAATGGACGTTGAACGTGGTCAATGGCCTGTTGGTGGTTCGTGCGCCTTGCCCGGCTTGCCCCTTGCTCATGGGTCATGAAGGTTCTGTCATTGAAACAATCTGAATGAACGCCTGACACCTTCGCATGGTGGTTCGCAGTTCGCCACTGCCAGTAACACCGGCTTTTCGTTAACGATGGCTGATCTCGACCTTTGCGACCAGTTTATTTACAGCGTCAGTCATCTAAAGCGAACAGAGTCAAGAAGCCTGCGAGTCACAGCAAATCAAAGGCGTTACAACTATTTTTTAAGCTTTTCCTGTCAGGTGAATAATTTTGGGGAAAAGGGTTGGAAAAGGCTCATTTTGCGCCTTTGCTGATCAAGCCCTTGTTGACTTACAAAATGGTAGGATGTCACGGCAGGAAAAAAGTCAAAGAAAGTCATGGTCGTTTTTCCTGGAAGGAATCGGTACTTACTTTCTTTGCAGTAGCCTGGAACATTGGGCGCCTACCGGCACTCAGGTGGCTGGTTCGAGTCGAGCTAGCTCTCCTATGAAACATTCAGTGCCTCGCCCTAATTTCAACTTGTCGACCCCTCCTCCTATCCTCATGCTCATTCCTTGGCCGCGGCACATATCATTCGCCTTCATATCAGCAGCGAGTGCTGAGCGGATCTTTGCCTTCACAAACAGGTCGCTGACCGCTACCGCTCGGTTAGCACCGCATCAGAAATCATCAACAATCAGCTCAGAGCCGCTCCTTGACAACCTCTGCTTTCAACCGCCATGGGGCAGTTCTCAAACGCTGTAATCCACCTCGCCAAATCTTCCGCCAGCAAGCGCGAGGTGGCAGGTCAGGTATTGCGTGTTGACAGTTCATTTCACGATGCGGGGAAGCTCACAGTTTCCTCATCAGGGTGGCTTGCTTAATGGCGCCGATCCCTCGGCCTTCAACACCTCGGATCCGTTGCGGCTGTGGATTATACAGCTTGGTGAGCTCCTTGCTTCATCCGCCATGGTGTTGTCGACTCATGCAATAGGGGACTCCAGGTGTTATTCTGTTGATGACGCAGATATTGTCGCTCTTTCTAGGCAAGATAAGACAACCTAAGGTGATCGCAGAAGTTATAGGAGGTATCCTATTGGGTGCGTTTGCTGTTGCTTCATTCCGGGCTGTATTCCGATTGTTTGGCAGGCCCTACCGCGTTCGGGCGTATTCCTGGTTTCACGCAGCACATATTCCCAGCCGACTCCAAACCCTATCTGTCTCTTGTTGCAAACATCGGACTATGTCTCTTCTTATTCCTGGTCGGCCTCGAGATCGATGGCTCAATCGTGAGGCGTAACTATCGAAAATCCACCGCCATCACGCTCGCGGGCATAGCACTCCCATTCGGCCTTGGTGCAGGCCTATCCGTGCCCTTATATCGCACCTTCATCAGCCCTTCGGTCAAGTTCACGAACTACATGCTCTTCACAGGTGTCGCATACTCGATCACTGCGTTCCCCGTGCTATGCCGTATCCTTACTGAGCTCAAGCTGCTCGATACAAACGTCGGCATTGTTGTGCTGTCTGCTGGCGTCAATGATGACGTCGTTGGTTGGGTCCTCCTTGCCCTGAGTGTGGCACTAGTGAATGCGACGTCTGGACTGACGGCACTGTGGATTCTGCTGGTTTGCGTTGCATGGGCTCTTTTCCTGCTTTTCATCATGAAGCGCATCATGTATTGGCTTGCGCGGAGGACCGGGTCTATTGAAAATGGCCCTACTGTATTTTTCATGACATGTACTGTTTTACTACTCTTTGGTTCTTCATTCTTCACAGATATAATTGGGGTAAGTCAATCTCATATCAGAGCGCGGGGGAGAGGTTTGACGTGCGGTTACCAGGTTCAAGCGATTTTTGGAGCCTTTTTAGCGGGTCTCATAATTCCTCGGGAAGGAGGATTATGTATCGCTCTTACAGAGAAATTAGAGGATATGGTCTCTGTGATATTTTTGCCATTGGTGGGTGCCAATTCTTTTACGCGATAGAATCTTGCTTACCCCTTGCCAGTACTTTACCCTCTCCGGGCTCAACACTAACCTTGGGCTTTTGGATAACGGTCAGTTCCCCCGTCCTGCATGGTGTTCCATCACTGATCTTTGATTTTCACGCAGGCATCACTTGGGGATATACCATTGCTATAATCTCTCTCTCATTTTCCGGCAAGTTCGGTGGCTGCACTCTTGCTGCGAGATGCGTCGGATTCTCGTGGCGTGAGTCGAGCACCATTGGCTCGCTGATGAGTTGCAAGGGGTGCGTCTTCTCTTCTGCATCCCGTCACAGCTCCTGACCTGCTCTCTATCCAGTCTCGTAGAACTCATCGTCCTTAACGTCGGCCTCGAAGCTGGCATTCTCTCTCAGCGCGTCTTCTCCATGTTCGTGCTGGAGGCACTCGTACTCACGTTCATGACGACGCCCCTCGTGGTCGTGCTGTACCCGCCGAGGTTGCGAGAGCCTGCTGGCTCCGGCTCTGGGCCACTCGCCGACGACCATGCTGGCAAAGATGAACCGGACGGGAAGACGACACACAGCTCCAGCACGCATGGGCCCGAGAGCGGAATAAAGGACGAGGGCGTAGACGGAGAAGGCGAGCGCAAGACCCGCTTTATGGTCATCCTGGACAAGATCGAGCACCTTCCTGGCGTGCTGGCACTGACACATTTCATCCAGCCTCCGCCCATAGATGATGCGCACGTGAGAGAGAACAGGAAGAGCTTCCTCCCACCGTATTCGTTATCAAACAAAGATCAGGACAAGCAGCAGCGCCCGGAATATCGCCGCCGTGGGTCAAGCGACGTCAACATACATGCGCTGCGCCTGATCGAGCTATCGGACCGCACGTCAGATGTGATGCGGGGCTCAACTATGGACACGCTGAGCAACAGCGACTCGCTGCTGAACATATTCAGCACATTTGGCAACCTGAACGGCATGTCCGTATCCTCGTCCATGGATATCGTCCCATACGACAATCTTGCATCCAGCGTTGCGGATCACGCGCGGCAGCACAGGTCCCAACTTGTGATCATACCCTGGCTGCCCGCCCAACGCTCCCCCGTGCTGACCCCCCAAGTAACCGATGCCTATGGAGACGGCAGCACCAGCGGAGGGCCGGTCACACCACGTGCGGAGTCAGCGTACATGTCCAATCCGTTCGACACATTCTTTGGCGGGAGCAGCTCAACCCTGTCCCCATCCGCACTGCACTCGCAATTCGTCCGCAGCGTCTTTGCAGAGGCGCGCACTGATGTCGCATTGTTCATCGACCGCGGCGAGCGGGACATGCCAGCGTCCAATAGCCAGCAGCACATCTTCTTGCCGTTCTTCGGCGGCCCGGACGATCGTCTTGCGCTGGACTTTGTGGTGCAGCTGTGCGCGAACCCAAGAGTGACAGCGACAGTTGTGCGACTGGTGAAGCACGAGATCGAGGAGCTCGTCGAGGTGCCCTCGATTGAGAAACCGGAAGTGGCGTACTTTGGCGACCTACGTCAGAATGAGCTGTCGCCAGCCACGGTATATTTCGCTTCCTCTCATTTCTGAATTGTCTGCTGACGCTGAATGTATTTTCAGACGATCGCGCTCCCTGATACCGCCTACGGACACCAGTCAACACAAACTCGCTTGCAGTCGGAAACCGCGGACAACCTCATGTGGTCTCGATATGCCAATCGGTCCCTTACTGGCGATGACGAGCTATCGAGGCTATCGGAAGCGCTATCTCGCATTGAGTTCAGACAGGAATCCACGCCGAAACCGCTGCGCACGATGGTGCAATGGGAGTCACAAACTACCGGGGAAGCCAACAACAGACGGTGTAGACCCATGATTGTTGTCGGCCGTTCACGTCGTATGGCCGTGTTGAACCATCAGCCCGAATTCAAACAACTGATGGATGAATACGGTGCCCTTGGAAGCGAGATAAGGAAGACGGTGGGCGACGTGGGCGCGGCGCTAATGGTCGCGGGCTGCAAGGCCAGCATCGTCATCTTCCAGGCGGCAAATGTACCTTACGATTGATTATTGAGGACATGATCAGCCCGTTTTAGAGGATGATCTACGACATGACACGACTTTACCACACACATACGATCATACCATTCACATGTATCATACGTATCAGTATCGAATCTCCATGAGACGGCGAGTTGTCAGTGAGATGCAGTTTGAGAAAGTCAAAAAAAGAACATAGCGCCTAATAAGACATGATAAGATACAGCTGAAAAGATGAGAACGCAAGCACACCACCCCGGTCCCGACATTACTCTTTACTCTTCTTCTTCTCCTTCTTCTCCTTTTTCTCCTTCTTCTCCTCCTTCTCTTTCTTCCGCGAAGGCTCCTCATCCTGTGAATCTCATTCAATTGGAAGGCCTTCTTTGAGAATGGAGCAATAGACGCACCTCGGCCGCCGCTTTCTCCTTCTCCTTCTTCGCCTTTTTCAAAGCCTTCTTCTCCTCCTTCGAAAGTTTCGGTTTCTTCGCTGGGGAACCCTCTATCTCGTCTGCGTCTATTTCGTCGCTGCCCTTCCGCTTCTTGCTCTTCTTATCCTTCTTGGGTGTCGGCTCGACTAGCGGTAGCGCAGGGGCCTCCTCCTCTTCCTCCTCCTCCTCCTCCAAAGCGAGCTGATCCAACACTTTCCGAATGGCATCCGCGTTCTTTGACGGCGGAGCTCCGGTCTCGAAGAAGTTCAGCCGCTCTTCCACCTGCTGCCGCAACGCTTCACCGAACAGCGGAGACGGCTTGTCTAAGCAGTCAGGCGTCATCGATAAGCGATACAGTACGCGGGAACATTAGGGAGGCTAGGCACACGCACCAGAGTAGCAATCTATCCTGGATGCTATTGAGCACTTGTTGGCGAGGAAGCGTGAGATGCGGCCTTTCTGCTTTGGGCCCGCACGGCCAATGAACGACGAGTGGTAGATGAGACCATACTGTAAAATGCGACGTCAACGTCAACATGGAAGAGCGAGTAATTGCGAAATCACCTTGGGCGTATTGCCCTTGGTCTTCAGTGCTCGGAAGAGGGCCTTCTCAGCACCGAGAATCTGGACGGTGCTCGCAGGATATTTGCTCAGATTCGTCAAGCTGCCCGCATGACTGATGAGCCGTGCACCAATCCGCTCGCCCAGCAGCGCGGTGAGGCTTGGCGCGACCATGTTCATCTTCTCTGACAGATACGACGTGAGCGATTTCCGGTAGTCGGCGATGGAGACGACGCGTGATGCAAATGCGTTAATGTTGAGCATGTCAATCTCCGCGAGGGATGAGCCCATCGAGCCATTCGCAGCATCCAATATGTTTTGTGCACGGATCATGTCATCGTCAAGAAGGGCGGCAAGGTCGGAGAGTTTCTCCTCCGTCAGCGTCTCCTTCGCACCAATAAACTGGGCGACCTGAGCGTACTGGTAGTTGTCGGGTACGATTTTGACAAGTTCTGGAAAGTGGTAACCATACCATTCTCGTATGCGCATCGAGAAGAGGTTGACGTCTTTGTCGAGCTGGTCGAGGAGGGAAATGGCCTGAATGATCATGTTGTCTATCCGGTTCACATTGAATTTCAGTTTTGCGCGGGAGTAGGCGTGTCCGAGGCCAAGCTGCGCTTTTATGAGGTCGGTGTCATTGAGACCCATTAGCAGCTTGCCTGCATGCTGCCGGATGCCGCGGATGATGTCTTTGGATGTTTCGGAAGTGTCACACTCGATATTGAGCGCAGCTTTAATGGAGGATGCGAGGACAGGGTCCCATATGGCGAGCTTTACCGAAGACTTTTTCGAGGGCTTTGATAGGTTCAGTTCCAGTAGCGACTTCAAGTAATCGTTCAGAATGCCTGGCGGTCGTGTCAGATGCTACAATCGGCATTCAATCAAATGAGCACTGCTCACCTTCCGAAACGTCATTCATATTCTCAAGGGCATGTGCAGCACTCCGGAATGGCGAGAAACTGACTAGCGTGACCATCTTCCCGAATTTTGCCAGGTCGTCAATGGAGTCTTGCACGGCTTTCGTTCTCGCGCCGACGTTTTCTTGAAGCTTGACCTCAAAAATTGCATACCCAGAGGCGGTCTCAAATAGGGCATGAGTGGCCATGGTGAGAGGAGGAGAGGGTCAGACAGCAATAACCTGGTAATGGTAAATAGAGGTCACCGTCGTTGATCGACTTTGCATCTGCAACTTTTATATCGATCACGTGATTGAGGGATAGCTAGGTGAAGTTCAACCCCTTCCCTTGGATTCGACGCTCATGGCCGCACAAGATATCTGGAAGCTGGGAAGTGGCTTGAAAGTCAGCTCTGATTTTGTTTCTTCGCGCTGTCTCAAGATTATAGGTTTACTGCTATTCGAGGTCATCCTCAATGCGGTGCTTTACGGTCATGCCTACAGCTTCGTGCGAGAGGCGCTAGTTCTGATGACCCTGGACATTCACGTCTACTCTGTCTTTGCAGAATGTTTCCAGGAGTAGTGATGTCTGGGGTCCTGCATCCTCAGCTGGCTTCTTGCCTGTCGGAGTCTGCAAGGGTCTTTCGCATTCCATACAAATTCCTCAAATTAGCGAGGTACGTCGCTAGTTATGTTTCATTGCTGGATTCTAACATTCCTTATGCGCAAGCACGACCATTGGATGTAGAAAAGCCGGCGGGACGCCCTAGGCCATACCTACGAATGTCATTTGAGCACCCGTGATATGGAACTCGGACATTGACTGATTGCTGCGCGCTTTCGCCCCGCCAAATGAACTACGTACTATGGAAGTCCAGCAGGCCTCCGTTCCCTCGGATGCACACAATGATGTTGACTTGATCGCTCATGGTCTGATTTCAGCCACAAGTCTCGAGCGGTAGTCCATCGGTTCAGCACCCGATCGAAGAGCAAGTGACCCTGCGCTACTTATTCCAGGATCTGCCCAACAGTTTCCGTCACAGGAAAGTCGAGGCCTTTCTTTTACCCAACTTCCCACAGCACTCACTCCGCCTCGATGTGGGTGCCTTGTCGACCTTAGCTTCTGTCCGACATCCCATGAATTGCGTTAGTCTTCTGTTGTTCGGGAGCTTCTCCCTGCTTCGACTGTTCTTCATCAGACCTTCTCCCGCTGCGGTGGATTCGATTGTTATGAAAGCAGAGTTTGACTGAACGCCGTGATCACAGCCAGTTCACAAACGGGAATAGTGTCTTGTGTGACCGATTTGCCGCTATACTCCATGTTCGCTTTCCGTGTTCGGAAAGTTTCTAACCCTCGCCGCCTTTGAACTCTATTTAGACGAAGCGCTCACTGCTACAGCCTATGCAACCTGTCAACAAGCCACTATAGAGAAACGGATTAGAAGACTCCTAGCTCGACAAGCTTGAACAGATACCTGGGCTTCTTCAGCACTGAACATTGTCTGAAATGCATTGGCGACTTTGGTCACAGTTTGTCGGAAGATGACGGTACGCCCCGGAGGCCATTTCGCCCAATCAGGTGCGTCGAGGCTTGAAGGCCATCCCTTGTACTCCTCCAAAACGACAGCGAAACTATCGGCTGCGTGGAATGGTCCGTGCGGGCGACCCGTGACGGTCAAGTGTAAAATGTACGTATCCTGGTCGGAGTTGTCGTAGGAGCCGTCACTTTTCGGTCCCTATGAAAGACAGGTATATACATTCATCAGTCGAGGATGTGTGCTGATTTCCACTCACCGGTGTAAACCTCATTTGAACCTCGCAGCGCACTTCATTATCCGCCAGTGGCAAATCCGGAACCCGGTCGGCACCTTCCTGCGTATTTGCGGCCACCCATATATCCACTGGTCCTGGCAGTCCTAAGACATCTCTGCGGTGTTCCGCGCGAGAAGACTCTCGCGTCTCGCGACGCGGGCGTGAACGTATAACGTAGAATGGATCTGACATTCCCGTTGTAAAGAACATCGGGTGCGGTAGAAGGGAGCGGATGGTCAAGAACGTGCTCCAGTTCGCTCCGTGCCTCTCGTATTTATCATCCATATCCGTGCATCGCCCCGTATCATCTCTGCGCCGTCTCACAGGCTTCACAAAGGCTCGCTCTCTGTGTCTCTGACCGAACAGGCAGGTCCAGCACCTGCCTATTGAGGCTTTCCTAATATCCGTGTCTTTTTTCGAAGCAATTTTTCCCACCAGCATCGCACGCCGTATGCTTCGGTCTGATGGAACTACGTCCCTGAGCGGACAAAGAGAACAGCCCAGAAGTGGAACGTTCCGTGGTTCTTCTTGCGTGCCCGACGAGGTCAAGTGGCTAACGTGCATCTCCATACACGCCTACTTGCACATATTTCTTTGTTCTTGTTCCTGCAGATACCTCTCTTTGCCGACAGACATTCCCGTAAGAAACGGTCGAGATCGTCTGTATATGATACAGTGGAACGTGATCACCTCGTGTCCGACAGCGTGGTTGAAACATGATGAAGTATCGCTATCTGTGTCTGCTTCTTTGCTGATCGTGCATGTACTTCATTATTTGTTGTCTCCTGGCTTCAGTAAATGTGTCAGTGTCCTAGGATAAAGGAGACAGTGCTGTGCCAGCCATCCGCTTTGCGGAAGGAAATCTGGACCTACAGCCACAAATAACGCGCAAACAGAAAGGAGTAAGATCAGCGGTTCGATTGGGAGAGATTCAGAGCGGTCATGCCGCCTCGTGTCGGCGGTGAGGACGAGTGGCTCTTTCCCCCAAATCGTTCTTGCCTCCGTCCTTTCAGCTCTGCAGCCTGCACGCTGAACCTGAGGGCCTCTCGGTCTATATCCGCTCAGAAGAGCTCGACTGCAGGGGCCCTGATTCTCCGTGAGGAACGACCAAGACATCTAATAGGATAGTCACGACTAGACACGACTGTATGTATATGCCTTTCTATCGCTATCTGTTCTTGCACTTATGATCTTGGCTGGCACAGCTGACGGGACCAGGAGATCATTCGTTTCTCTTCACCTCCATCCCCTCGCTCATCGCACCTTTTAATTCCTTTCGTTCACCTACTTCGCTGCACAGTATGTTTATGAGATTGCTGAAGGGTGCCGACTCGATCCCGCCAGCACCAAAGCTTGGCAGACTAGAGCTGCCAGATATTGGGGAGGGGGATGTATACCACATCTCTCCTTTACAAATGTCAGCCGTGCTACAGGACTCGTCTTCGGATGATGAGGGCTCGACTTCTCCACTTTTACCCGTCGCGCCATCACACAGGCCGTCCAGCCCCCAGACTGAGATCCTGAAACCACGGCGCAAGATAAGAAGCCCTCGCCCCGATTCGCCACTGTATCCGACCAGGCGTACCGTCTCAACGACCCAGCCCGATTCCTCAGATTGGAAGGCAGGCAGCGCACCATCTACGCCAGAGGACAAGCTCAGTAGTAGCCGGCCTCTCACCCCGCAGCCTGGGGCTCCCGAAGCCAGATCTGATACATCCACCCCCGCAAAGCCTTTGAAAGGCATCTTGAAGCCTGGTACGTTATGTTGATGATCTGGCGTTTAATCGCAATCAGCTCTTGATATACCACGTGCATCTAGCGCCCCCACTGCAACCAGTGACTCTTCACTGGCAGCTCCTGCCCTTCGATCCAGCATGGTCGAAAAAGAAAATATATTTCGATGTGGCGCGGCCGGTCCACTTCATCCGCGACCACACGCATATGCCCCCAGTCGCGTTGACGGATTTTGACCTGCTGAAGCCAGCGTCTGAAGTCCCGCTCACCAAGATGGATATCCGCTGCTCGCAGCTGCCACACTGGGACATCTTTGTCAAGCCATCGATCCCTGGAGGTATCCGGTGCATTGACGTCTACGATGCGATATATCAAACGTTCCATTGCAAGCTGACGACGATAGAGAAGGATTATTACATCCCCTCGGAGCGCCGCACTAGATGTGAGGCACAGTTCCGCAGGCGATGCAGGGAGTCGCCCGCCCTGGAGGCTGTTGAGCTCCGAGATGGGATGCGGCGGGTCGACCTGCTAGAGGGGCGGACGATATTCATGGGTCTTAGGCGTCCTGTGGACACCGATGACAAGCCAGATAGCTACTGGGTGCTCGATCTCGGGCTCCCAAACGACTCCCGCAAATGACGGCAACGATATCTTATTCTCTCATACGTATTGTATTCTCGCCACCTGTCACGGTCAGTGAATCTTCTCCCTGTGGAGGACATTACGCACCAATCGATCTGTGCTGACCGCTCTGTCACGCAGGACTGGACTGGACTGGATCCTCATCCCTACTCGCATCGCATCGCTCGTTTCTCCGCGCATATACTCACACTACCTTGTTCCTACCGCATCCTCATATCGCCCCTCTAAGTCATCCTTATGTATGAACACCACTCATCCGATCCCATCCCACACACCTCCTGTAGTAGTTCGCATAGCCAGGGCTCAACGCGCAGCGCGTGGACTTTCTGTACGATACGATGAATTGTCACAATGCACGGCAATTGTATACATACTCATGTTGATCCCCGCGTCCTGGCGCTTGCCGTATAGGCGCGTGGGACAGGTGACGCTAACGGAGAGTTCGCAAGGAAGACAAGAAAAACTTGGGTGAAGAGGCGCTGGGCGCCGGTTCCAAATAACACAGAGGCCCGTCGCAGAGCATGCGCAAATGCCATTCATATTACACCGTCGAATGCCGCCATTATCTCGTCTACTGAACTGGCAAACACTATGAGTCCCTTTGCTCTGACCATACATGAATCACTGCACCACGAATCACTCATGCACCACAAGACCGACACTGGTTCAGGGGGTTGGATGCGGATGCTATCGAATGCAAGGTTCAAACAACCGCTGTCAAAGAAGAGACGTTGCCAGTCAGGGCAGCCTCAGCAATGACAAGAGGATTGGCCCCCATCATAGAAGGTGAATTCTCGTCCCTGATATTTCCCCTTTGCAGCAACTCTGAGTTGGGTACCTTTGATGGTGGGAGAGCAAAAGGCAAGGTGTTGCTGAATGTGAGTGGGATATGCGGGGATGATGGTGTCAGCAGTGATCACATTCATGACGATTGTGGACGTCCACTCACCCCCAGGAGCAATTAGTCCATGTGCAGTTGCAACTGAAACAAGCGATGCAAAATCGAGCCTGCACACCAGATCTTTCAACGGCATGTCTATAATAATGCATTTCAATTCACTGCACAGAGCAGGTAAGTCACAATGATGAACACTGGCAAATAAGTATCTAGTTCTTTCTGTGCGTCGAAGCTGTCCACTTACAACTGGAAATTGATCCAACAGATGCCAGTGCATCGTACAGATCCCTTCTGAACTCACTTCATGCAAACCATCATGTACAAAGTCGAACACTGCAATGGCAGACACACAAGCCAAACTACATCGATGCCCGAACAATAGACTCCAAACCGATCACCGTACATTTTCGATGGTCTCTTCCTATATGATGCATTCAAGTGAGATTGGTCAAACTGCACAACGGAAGTATGCGAGCAAAGAACAATAAAGGCAGTGGCAGGCACGTCAAGCACAATCGATGAAACGTTCGAGGACCACGTGGAATCGAGGAAACTCACAGGTTGCGTACCTCTGAACGTCACTGACAAACGACGAGACAGCAGGACAGGCAATCCGTATCGAGGCGAAAATCCATGTATATCATTCGTCGAACATACGCATGACCTATGAATACTATCTCCAACTGGAGGAGAGCAGTAACCAATTGAATGATGTGACCGTGCACACTCTGAGACGTCTCCCGAATGTGCAACCGGCGGCCGAGGTATAAAGAAACAGAGCACGTCGAATAAGAACACGTTAATAGTGAGAAGCGCTGTGAACGAACGTCAAAATCAGAGCATGAACCATTTAATAAACGCCAACTACTATGTACCACCACGAGGAAGTACATAATTAAGCGAAGTGAGCATATATAAAGCAATAAGTAGACGCTAACAGCGAGAAACACTGCAAATCAACATCGAAATCATTACAGACTACTCACCATGCACTGCCGCGAGGAGGTACGTAGAAAACGCCATCAAGCGACGTGGTGGATAGAAAGCAAGAAAGCTCAACAGGGGCAGCGCGATGACGAGGAGGAGGGGCGAACGTTACGTAAACTACTTCCTAAAAGGTGTCGAACTGCAGCGACGATTATTACGTAAGCCGTTCGCGTCCACATTCTGTCAATAGCCAAATTACTTTGTTATTTGAAAACTATTGTTTCTATTTAAATTAAAATTATTTGCGCTAAAGACAGCGCACGACATCAAAGCAACACACTCATCGCCTGCGACAAAAAAAAACTCGGATGTTGTGAGCAAGCTCCAAGACCAGTCATTGATGATGTAAATGGACACACGAGATTTCTTGCATAGGGTTTAATATCGCCAAAGTTACAGTACGCTCGTATTACGGGTATCACGGAGCGGTATGACGCTGTTCTGCCGCATAGCATTATATTGCGAAACTCTGTTCGGAGCAGAGGGGGTATTTCGGGCGTGCACCGCATCGGTCACTATTGAGAAAAAAAAAGAATAAGCGAGAGTTCGCGAAAAATTATAGATGAAATGGCAGACAAGGTTCCGATGGCAGGAAGGATGCGTATTTGTAGCCGTCTTGCGTACGTGGCCAATGGCGACTGCGATTAGCGGGTATACCGCAGATTCCAGGTTTCCGGCGCAGTTCCCCGATGCATAATAACGCTTGCGTTACCCATAAGCACCTGTGCGAAGTGTGCAGATCGACGTGCGAATGCACTCGACTGACACGCGTGATACTCAGGGATTGTTCGTTGTTCACGGGCGTTATGACAGTTCTGCGATCAACATCACTCCTTCTTGTCCGGTTGGTCCGGCGGGTTTGCAGTTAGACGTGGACAGATGGCCCTTTGTTCATCATTTCGGAATTACCCTTCGTGAAACACGTCTCTCTGACGGAAAAGATTTGCGAAGACCCTTAAGACGTCCCAAAGCCGTCCAAAAAAAGCGCATCCGCCGACAGGTCTTGAGCAACAGCGTTGATTGCTAGCCTAGACCACGTAAAAATTTGTGTGAGAATAACAACAAACGCCTTCGGGAACCGCGTCTTGACCGCGGTCCAAGGTGTGGTGTGGTATGCTCAGCATAGGCGATCGTGAGAGTCAACAGCTAAGCAGCCGTCAGGGCTGGTCCATGCAGGTAATGACAAATTTTCAGAAAGCGTGGTCGCAGTAAGCGTAAGCGTCAGTCAGACCATGCTGGGAGAAAACGGCGCATGAGATTTGAGTCAAACGCGTCTCGTCACGGCACGTGCTTGTGACAGTAACCAGTAACCTGATGGCGCTGGCCAAATCGGGCTTGAAAACCTTTGGCTCACTCACTCACACTCTCAGCGAAACGATATTATGGCGTCAAGATCTGTGCTATTAGTAATATATACGATACTCATGGCCTAATGTACAATGTAAGTTACTCGAGACATTGACTAGTGGTACACTAGTGCAGCATGAACACAACAAAGCAAAACGACAATATGAATGAGACGTAGACTCGTTAAAGCGATGTCACAATAACTTAGTCTATCAAGCTGCAATGAAATAAGGCGCCACGAAGATCGCAGCCTACGCGAGTGTACACGCGCCCTCGTCCCAATCCGTGCGCGGGATGACACCCACGGCTCTGCAGACGGGACATGACACCTCCACCTCCTCCATGCCCTCCTTGTCCTCCTTCTTCTCCTCGCCGCCCCACCCCGCGACCCGCTCCGCACTCACAAGGCAAGACGGGTGGAACGTATGCTCACACACCTTCTCGCCGACACCGCCGAGTGGACGGATTGAGATCTGACGGATCGTGCGCGGATCGACAACAGGCACAGGGTCCTCGTCGGACGGGCCGAGTCCACAGCTCACGTCCCAGCAACGCAAGCCCATCTCCCGCTCCTTACGCTCGACCCGCTGCCGCAGCGTCAGGCCAGGCGGGGCTGGTAACGTCCACTGGCGCTTCTCAGGTGGCCGAGGACGGCCTTGGGTGTGGGCGCCTGTCTGTGGAGCTGGACGTTGCTGAGGCGCTGGTCCGCCTGCAGCAGCGTTGGGCGCGTTCGCCGGGCCCCGCTGTGGGATTGGGCCAAATAAGTTCTGCAAAAAGGTACGAGCCGTCTGATCATCTAGACGGACGTATCCTGGAATAGCGCCGCCACCGCCCGGTGGGATTGGTGGGAGAGCAGCGTCGGGAGTAGCCGCAGGTTGGGGCTGCGGTTGTTGCTGCGTCTCGGCCGGTTGGTGATGTCGCGGTCGAAAGAGTCGCTCGAAGAAGCCCCGGTGGGGCGGTGGAGACTGGCCCCGCGTTGGCACTTGGCCCTGGGCAGTAACTTCATCTGTGGGAGCAGGGGGCGTGCCGCCGGGCATCACGCCCGGCGCAACGGGGAAGTAAAGGCTGAATTCGAGCGGCATGAACGGAGGAGCGCCCGTCCGTGGCTGAGCACCCTGCTCCTGACCAGGTGCGGTACCCGGGGTGGGCTGTGGGCCAGCCTGCGCGAGTTGCGGCTGTGGTTGTGTTGGTTGGACACCAGCCGGCGCCTGCGCCGGTTCCTGCCCCTGTGGAGCCTGCTGCATCCTACGCTGTCGGGGCGGCACATATGTAAGTGACTCGGGGTCGATGTCAAAACGACACGTAGGGCATGTGGTACGATGCGGCTTCGTGAACCAGGGCAGCAGGCACGACGTATGAAAGACGTGAGAGCATGGGAGAGCAACGACTTTTGGCAGATCCTTCAGATGTGAATATAGCGGATCGTTGGATGGGGAAGAGCTGTCAACTTCCATCGACGCCTCTGATGGACCGCTGCTCTCGATGCCCTCCGTGCGCGTCTGTTGCTCGAGATCGCCGCCTTCCGAACTAAGCTTCTCCCAGCAAACTGAACACATCGCGTCTCCTTCATCAGTGCTCGTCCGCTCTATCCGTTGCACGAGCCCCGGAGGAACCACCTCAAGGCCACGAATGAGCTTTTCTGCACGTTCCGGATCGTCAGGCTCTGGCTCGCGTGCCTCTCCGAAGGGGAATGGGAAGAACGGGAAGAAGAATCCTTCGCCGCCAGGAGCAAATCCCTGGGCGAAGTCAGGCATGCCCATCGGAGGAACGACTCCCTCTGCATTAGGAGTGGGCGGCACGATAGGGATTTGAAAGGTGAAGTTGTACATCGACGGGCCGTGGAAGTGCGGTGGTTGCTGATCCTGCTGCGGGTCAGCCTGAGCACCTTCCTGCATGCCCTCCTGCCGAGGCGTGGGTGGCGGTGGCGGGTAAATGTCGAATGTGTAGACGAGCCGGCTGTAGGGCGGTGGCGGTGTGCGAGGAGCATTCTGCTGCGCTTCATGTGCTTCAGGGGGCTGCGAAGCGAGCTCCGGCTCGTGCTGGTGGTCGGGTGTAGGGGAGTGCAAACGTTGACGATTGGTCTCGCGCATGTCCTCCTCGTCGATGTCTTCATCGACCCGCGAACGCCGTGGATTCCGTGTAGGAGCGGGATCAGGGGATTGAGACGGTGGATTTGAGGCCTCGCCTTCGGCTATGTCCACATCCATGATTATATGCGACGTGTTCTGTGCTGAAGACGTGGAATCGTCGGATTCGTGGCCAAGTGACAGATTTGATTGTGGGAAAGCGGAGGGGCTCGTCGATGCAGACGAATAGTGTACTGCGTGATCCTGATCCTGAGTAGCTGGATCAGGACCTAGTGAGGACGAGCGCAGAGAGAGAGTTCCTACAGATTGTGCGAGGTCCTCCACAGGGGTCATTTCACGGTCCTCTGAGTCGTCTTGCTGGGAAGCAGGATCGTCAGGAATGGGTTCCAAAGGCGGGAGATCCAGCAAATCTGGATCGTCCTCAGGAAGACTGGGTTCGATGGAGGATGGTGTTGGGTTAGTTATGCCATGGACGATATTCTGAATGCCCTGCCTGATTTGCGGATTGGCATCCAGCAAGTGCTGTAGGAAACCGCTAACAGTGTTTGAGTGGTTATCCATGTAAAGAGCGTCAGATGGCGTTAAAGATGGGTATCCTGTCGTAAAGTAGGTGATGGTTGTTGCAAAAGGTGTGGAGGCCGCTCCAGCTGTCCCCTAGCTTATAACGTGGATTACCGATTCTAAGCAGCAATCTAGTCGCTGCTAGAATATTCGATAATAGCTGGATATGGGAATTCCCGAACTTACTCATCCCTTTACCGCAGCTTAGTCATCCGCGCCTATCCCCGAGGTCTCCATCGACCATCGACCGTCCCGAGCTCGATTGGTATTCACGCTCGTCCCGCGAGTCGCGCCTTGCACGACATTTAAATGCGACCTTCAGCTATGAATATTTCGTGTGCTTTGGCTACGATGTCATCAGCCGGTGGCTCTCCATCACACAACTGGAGCCACGGCGTTACCACGTTTACCCTTTGGTCGTTTCGCGAGAGGTCTAATATTGGGCTACAAACTCATACGCATGCATGGAGCATGGACAATCATATTATTCTGGACGCTGACAGTTCCACAGGTCTTTTGTCCCGTCATGCGTGTCATGCAACTAGTTCAGCAATGGCTCCCATGATGCCAGTCCACTGTGGTCTTTCCTGGTCCGCTAATTACTCCGGAGTCCAGCTAATTACTCCGGAGTCCACACGAGCGCTGCCTTATCGAAGCATCATGAGCAAAATGGAACTGGCAGTACCATCAACTATCTCGCATGCCATCCGGCGGGAGCAGAACCGAATGCGACTAGCCTCCCTACCGTACAAGTATGAACTTATCCCTCCCAGAGGCTCTGCCACGCTGTGTGGCTTCCAATACAGCCCCACGAGACACGTTCTGCGGTATGTCACGCACCCGCTGTTCGGACTGCAACCATCTCCGCTGCGATGCGACTCAGTCCACATTCCCCACTGAAAGCGTCGAGTGGCAGCATCAGCAAAGGCTGTGGAGATATTCTAGTGCATCATGGCTGTATGCATGTGATGCGGTCACTGGTCCGCTATGTGCATGCTGTCAATGTAAACGCCTTACAGACAATCCCTTTTCATCGGGCGCGCTCGTGTGGTCGAATAATCGTTATCGGAATACATCCTCCTGCATAATCCACGCCTGAGCGGTCCCGACTAGCTGCGAAGCCTATGGTCGCATAAAGGATCTCTCGTGTGAGGGCAGCAACGCGAAGTGCACCATTACCAGGGCTACGATCAATGAAGGGAACTGGTCGAGGCGACCTGATCCCGAGGCGGGTCGGTCGCTCTATCTCCCATTAATCTTCCCGCCGGCCATCTTGGGTGGCGTATCGGGTATCCAAAGTTGTGGTTCAGCGCCTCCCAGGCCTGCTTCTTAATCGATCGCTCGTCTGCGATCATAGTCTGACCTCCGTGAAGTTCGATCGAGATAGGGCGGTCCTTGCGCGGCGCACGGTGCTCTTCGGTGCCTCTCGGGTACTCGATGATGTTATTCGTGGGTCTGAAGTGATCCTCGCTATTATGAAAGGACAGGCGCCGTAAGCTACTCAATTCGTGCCACGCCATGACTACAGGTGATGGTGGCGGTCGTGACAGGTCTTCACGATATTGTCTTCGCCTTCGCGCTGCGCTTCGAGCGTCTGAGGTACCTCCGAGCACTCGGGATACCGAACTGTAAAGCGTGAGTCAGACTTCAGTCGAACGTGCCGAACAGGACACAAACCCGTATGGTCGGATACAGCACCAGCAGGAAAGCGCCCACCGCCCAAGCCCACTTGACCCGCGTCGGCAGTGGCTCGGGGAATTGACCTTTGCTCCATTTCGTGATTGCCAGCAGTTCCGTGCCGATAGTAGCGAGCAGGAGCCATACATGCTGGCCCATCCTGACAGCCTTTCTATCGGAAGCCGAAAAGGGGATCAGTACAGCAAAGCACCCGAGACGTATCTGACACTTGGCCGGCGCAGACATACCTCGGGTCGTTGACATATTGATACAGCTCCCGTACCGCTGGCAAGGCACAAAGGAAGACCCCTGCAAGGCGCGCAATGACGAATGGGTGATCGGGCTCCATCCACAACAGAGTCTGTCCCTATTCAGCGAGAGTTTTGGTGGAACGAGCGAACGAAAGCTAACCTTTAGATAGAACGGATTAAGTTCAGCTGCTAGGAATACAGCCAATAGCAGCACGACCGTGAAGTAGTGCACGAACGAAGCCGTCCCTTCCCATTTGAACGTGGTCCAGTCGTGAGGAGAGAATTGGCTTATCACGCGTCTGGTTTTGGAGCGGATCCCGCGTGTTTGCCGAAGACCTCTCCAGACGTAGTGCTGCGATGGGGGTTTCAGTCATGTCTCACACGTGATACGGAGCCACGAACCTTAACTTCGAAGAACTGACATGTCTTCATCCCTATGATCAGAATGTAATGCTTAGCAGCTTGAAATCCTGTATCCTTCTGCATTCCATACCTAAATATGTACCGAGCCAATTGCAGATCAGTACATCTAGGATCCACTGCAGTCCATCGTCAGAGCCGGGACATCAGTCAATGTTTCCATGAGACTGACATGATCCCACCAGCACTTCAGTTCCTTTAGCACCCTTTGAATCACATGGATGGATGGATGCGTACCTCCGCGAAGTTAGGAAGCTGGTGCTGCAAACTGTATTCTGCAAGCTCGAACGCAATGCTCAAGATCTATTTTTGTAAGCCGTTGCACTAAATATATTGAACGAGCTGCTCACCCAGCAGAACCAATAATCGCGGAGTATCAAGGCCTTGCCGAACCATCCAAGGGTATGTGCCAGACAGAATATGTCAATGGCATTCTGCGCGAAGCCGCATGAGATACGCAGTATTCCCACGTAACCATGCTTCTTACCCAGATATTCTGGAATGTGAAGTCACAGTTTTCAGCGTAGTTTTTCTCAGGGAGGGGTTTTCCCAGGCTGGGGTCTAGGTACTTCATCATCGCTCTCGCCGAATCGAGGTCTTGGAAGAGCAAGAAGACCAGAGCCAGTTCATATAGCAAATTAATGCCCAGAACCACCCGCCAGAAAGCTTCCGAGTTAAGAAGTCAACGTAGAGGAAGGAGGAGACAGCAAATGTACCGGCGAACCTGGATGCGGTCGGACGAAGGGCCCGTCCCGGAACTGGATCATTGAGAAGAGAAGGAACGATGCAATTGCTGCATATACACCACTGAGACCACTTGAGCCTTGCAACAAGCGTAGACCGAATAGAAACTGACACTCTGCGCTTGTCCCGACCCTCCTCCAGAACATCCTGGGTCGTAGCGACATATGCCAAGACCGCCATTCCTATGCCCAAAGCAGTCAAAGTGATGGGCTTGTAGAAAAATCTGCGTGGTACTGTATGCAGCGAGTTTTGTACAGCGGAAAGGTAGACAGCAGCGGCTTACTCGATACTGGTATCGTGCTTCTCTTGGAAGGGGGTTATGCGGGTATACGGCTCGGTGCGGTCAGCCTGGGGATTGTTGCTATGAAGCCAACCTGCACATAGCTAGAGTACGATATACACCTACATCGTACCCTTTCAAGCTCTATAAGTGTCTAAACCGTTCAACGAGCAATGTATGCGTGACCTACAGCGCACTGGCGCACCATTCAACCCTGGTTTTGGTTCCGGTGCCTCTATAATCGGCAACGCAGAATCCGACTCTTCTGTCAGCGACGACGCAATCTGCGCAACTTTCTTCTCACTAGACATTGCACGGAAGTGCTCTGCGTACAGCCCGACGCGAACGATGTTGCTTGGTGGTTAGAGAGCAAAGCCGGCACTTACGAGCTGCAGCCACAGTCACGCACATGACGCGCCTGGGGCAGAGCGCCCGCCCCAACGAACTCCGTGGCCCAACTTGCCTGCCACTTCAAGTTGTGACAACTCTCCAGCACCAGAATAGCTGGTGTCGTATGCCAAAGTCGCTTCATGCACAACTGTCTGCATGCGCTCCGTAATGCTCGAGTGCCATCCCGGTCTTAATTTACTAGTGACGTACGAATGCTATTTTACGTCGCAAATAACTATGGACATATCGATGAGATCTCCGCGAGGGAACGGGGCTCAAGGTGTGCCTGCAGCACCTCAACACGATTTGTCTCATCGTTTCCTATGAATGTTCCCGTTCGATAATCCCTGAAATCCGGGTATCGGGGACAAGTCGCCCGGAGACAGGGATGTGCTTTCATCGAAACGACAAACCAGTTCGAGAAGGAGGGATCCTTCACATTTCTGGCCATCAGAAGACGGCAGTACACGAATGGGGACAATACCTGAGCATCCTCGGCGGAGCTTTTACCGGACCGTGACGAGCATTGGCTCGCATCTCACTCCGGACGTTGCGCATGGACATGCGTTGCGGCATGATGGGTGGACATGCCCTCAAAGCGTAGTGTGCCGCGACATCGGCGTGTACTTGACAAGACCAAGCATGAATCTGTCAGCGCGGGCTTTGAGACATCGAACACACCATTGAGTTGAAGCTACCGTTCGGAAGCAATGAATGTACCGATTGTAGAATCACGCAGTAACGTAAGGATAGCACTAGAACTATGGCGGGCTCCGACCAATCGATTTCGGGGTGATTGGAGTGACCAACAGTGCGTCTTCCGGAAGGCAAGAGGCTACCAACTCCGAGGCACCAAGATAGAGTGCAAGTCCTATGAGATGAAAATGGGGTGTTCGAAACGATTACGCGGAGTCGACCAGACGCAATCTATGTGAACTGTGCACTCCGCTACGACGCATGGTCAGGAAGCCTGCAGGATAGTGGCAGGGGTGCAAAAGAGTGTAAGCGGCTCGATGGTACGTACTCAGAGTCCACCAAACCTGTGCGCGTCGTGCGTACATCGCGTGTTTGGGCGGATGGAGCAAAATAGACACGCGCAGCGTCGAGGCCGGCGCAAGCCATGATATCGCGGTGTCTCGGCCAATAGCCACTTGGCCCAGACGGTGATGAGCCGAGAAGGAAGTATCTGATACGCAAGTGGAAAGATATTTTTCCGAGGTTGACATGAGCAACATTCGTACATATTGGTCCCTACATTGTTCTCTTGTTTGTGAAATCTAGCCGCTTTTACGGAAGCTTCCTACGCAGCTACCTAGGCGACGGGCGACATGTCAAACGGACTGGCTAGCTTCAGCCCTTGCATGCGAAGCTTCCAGGTGCAGCAAGAAGGCATCGATGAGTTGCTTGGAAGCAATTGACCACTTCCGTATCATCCCGAGTACACCGTCCACACTGGCGACTGTTTGTGATTGCGCATGACAGCTGAAACAGCTTGGTGTAAATCCGAGCACAGGCCGGATACTGCATGTGCTTCTTCCAATAGATGGTTGCGGAGTCGGATGTGAACAGAGCACGTTCACGTACAGGTATTATTCTACTTTTGGATTTGTCAGGATACCTATAAAGATCAAAGCGTATTTACTCTCGGACGATCAGCGGTATCGGATGTAAATGCGCGCGTGGGAAGATACGGACAGTTCAATGCAGCTTATGTTCCGGAATGCCTATGGTTTGTTTGCACCATTGCTGAAGAGTATCGACGGGTGGGAGAGGCCGTAGACTCGAGTAACTTGCCCTTGATCGCCGAGAGGCAGCGTCTAGCCACAATACAAATAGTACCAAACTTGGTTAGTAGGAGCTGGTTCGCTGCAATGTCACCTCATCAGGCCTGCTCGCTCCCAACAGTCCTGCTTGCAAGTGATGGGTGTCCTCGATGTGTCCAAATGTTCCGAACAGCATACTCCAGCTTCTCGCCAGTCCAGGGTGTCCTGCGCTCACCGGTCCGCCAGCCACGGCAGTCCCACAATGTGTGCCTAGATCAAGCCTTATATTGGAATCGAGCGATTCTGTTGGCCGCTGCTTGAGGCCGGGGCTCATGCAGGCTTGGTCACTCATGCAAAGAAGTGAGATATGCTTCGTTATCTGGCGGCATTTCGGACTGATGTTCTATAGAGCGCTGCCAGCGGCGACCTGGAGCAGTCAGACGACCACGGAACTATCAACTTTCTGCATAGGCTGTCTCAGCCGGGAAGCCGAGACGAATGGCCAGTCGCAGTCGGCTCTTCCACGACTCCGCAGACTCGCGGATGCCTCAGGGTCGACTGCCAATCATTGCTTGCTCAATACAGCAAAGCTCGAGTCCGCATTCAGTTGGGTCTGGTCGATCGTCCCACCCATCAGTGGCGACTCAGCAGCTTTCAGTAACCAGGCCGTCCTTCACCTGACAATCGAATAATCATCGCTCCGTCCCTGTGAGTCTCTCAGTGAGATGTGTCTATTGTTTGACGTGATTGCATGCACTTCGGAGTGTTTCTGTTTCTATGTTTCCAACGGTGAGCCAGCCGCCTAGCAAAGGATCTGTTCTGGTATCCTCATTGTCAGCGTGCGTTTGTAAGCAACGCTTTGGGGTGTTGAATGATCAGATCGGGATGCTACAGCCTGGGTTCCTTGGCATTGCTAAGTCACGGTGAACTTTGTCGTGACAACTGACAACATGTTCTCTAGATGGCGACTTGATTCCGCAGGACAGCCGATCCGACCAGATATACGGAACCGCCCCCAGCACACGGGTCTCATGGAATTTCTCTCCCCCGATGATGAAGATACAACTTCGAGCTCCTTCTGAATCCAAAACTCAGGTCCTATGCCCATGGGCGGCCGAGCCTCACGCTGATGACCAGTGTTTCCAAATATTACGATGCTACAGCATAATGTTCAACAGAATGACATGCATACATACAGCTTGAAAACACGCGGGATACTGATTGCAGTCCTTCTACCACAATGCTGGGTTTCCTGGATGCATCATGATGTATCGCAATGAATGCCAGGCGCTGTGATGGGATCGCTGTCACTGGTGCTGAGCGCTGATCCCCGCCACTGTGAGATAACCACTCATCGTTTCCGCGGTTCGGCATATTTTTGAGGCAACTTGTCTCTTCAGGGCGCGCGCGCTTCACTCTATTCGCTTGTTCTCCATTCTCTGATATGAAGTTCGCAAGTGCTCGCGTTGAAGACCTTGCGTTGTGATTGAAATGTACTATATTCGCCGGAGAACCTGCCCTGCGCAATGCCGTTCGCTACGCATTCGGGACAGCAGTAAAGTGGGTGTTCTGCATCAACCATCACGCCACTATACGGGTCAGGGTGGCTTCCGGGAAGATCTCCGTTCGCCAGAAGAAGAGCGTAAAATCGCTGGTCCTTACGTGGGGTTGAGTCAGAATCAGTTGATCCAGATAGGCAGCCGTGTCCCGGGTCCGCTTGGATGTGGGCTCCCAGACAATGGCGTCTTAGCGAAATGAAGCGGGTGGAAAAGTAAAAGTATGTGCAATGCGTGAGTGGAAGATTTCGAAGCCAGCCAATCAAGAATCTCACGAACATTCCCTGCAGGCGGGACATACCGCTTCCCGTGTTGGTACCTATTGCGATAACGTTGTTCCATGCATCACGGCATCCTGGACAGCGGTCCACAGCCTTGAATCTTATCTCCTTCGTTCACTAAATGGTTCGCAGACTCGCACGTTATGTCACGTCTCCCCGAAACGCCCACTGCGTCTTGGTTATCCAGAAGCTGTCCAGAAGCGGCTCAGGGACGATTTCTAGCCAGTCCGACCAATTTCGGGGTCACTTGTATTGGAAACCTCGCATAATCCCTCTGGATGCCAGAGATCATCTAATTTTGCTCGGAGCCACTGCCAGGCGTCAACGGAATGGCGCTTGACATAAGTAAGTGCGGCTCATCACCTCGTTCCAACCCTACCCCATTGCCTCACCATGAATTTTGAGTCCGACCCCCACTTGGCTCCTCTCCAGTTTAAGGGCGAGATTATGGACTTCGACTTGGGCCTCGAGGTCGACCACCGCAAGAGGTCATCACCCCTCCTCCACTATTCAATTGTCATAAGTATACTGACTTCTCGTTCAGGCGTAGGAATCGGACGACCCAGTCGTGCCTCAATTGTCATACGTCGAAGCGGAAGGTGAGACTCTAGCTGCGGTTGAGGTAAAGTAGTTCACCGATTGTTTCTATTGCAGTGCGACCGAAAGCGGCCATGTCAACGATGCATCCAACTCGGATTGGTAGGTTCACAACCTCCTTTTCCCCAGTGTCTGAGAACGACAGTGATCCCCACAGACGGGGCTGTGTGTCTATGAGGTCGACGACCCCGCGTTGAGGTAGCATCTCAACATTGCGTCTCCATTCCCAGGGCTCACCAGTGCACACAGGGATGATCCGAATATTGATGAGACCACTCGGCTTAGGAATAGAATAGCGGAGCTTGAATCCTTAGTGAGGGAGCTTCGGGGTAAGTGTCTCATCGCTTGGACACGGGTGCTGTGCTCATACCTGCGCGACAGGCAAGCCACACCCCAAGTGGGCAGAGCCCAACTACTGCGATGGAGACGTGAATGAGAAGTGGCATTCACGGTCCACGAAGCGTCTGCAATCGCAGTTTCAGAAGCCGAGGAGAGAAGGGCTTCTTGACGGGTCCGGGTCAAACGTCTTGCAGGCTTCTGCCGTCAAGACAGAACAAGCAACCGATCTGCCGCGACAGCAGCTATACAGTTTGTCGACGTCGACTGACTCATCTCTCTCCCATACTGTCGCCGTTGCCTCACATTCGTACTATCGCTCCACTCACCAGCATGATAGCCAGCATGGGATGTGCTCGGCGGCTGAAGATGCCAGCGCATTCTATTCATCCTCATCGTCTGCTTCCCCCGTAGGATATCCAGGCCAGCTTCACCCTCACTCAGCCGTTGGAGGTCACTACCCCCAACAACCTTATACTCGCACCTCGGCACTTGAGGCCGCGCAGATGCATTGCTCCTGTTTAACGAATCCCGCGGCAGCGCATCCGCTGATCGCCTTGACGAATCAGCTTCGAACCGCTTCCCACATGCTGCGACAGCTGCCAGAACATAGTTCACAACATGAATGCCTCGTGTTGACCCGCATCTTGGAGTTGGATGATGTGATGCAGTACGTGCGGTTCGACCAGTTGTCCGGATGACGCTGACAGCTCTAGGCGTATTTGCAGCGGGGGCGGCACGGAATACTCCGCAACGTCCGCATATGAGGGCCTACCAACACCAGCAGAAAGCGAGATAATGTCCCCGACATCCTCGTCAAGCCACTCAAGCCTCGGCAATCCGATGGACGAGTGGACCGCCATGGGAACAGCCAGCAATTATAACGCCTATTTTCCCGTCTCTGCGGGAGAACACACCACATATCACAAGACGTACCACGTTGCATGATTTGGTTTCCTCGCGTCATATTCCGTTCTTCACGGGACTAGGTGGTCTTACTGCATGAACAGTCCGGCCAATTATGACGTCTTGATATGTCGATTTTAGGGTGTAGGTACCATTGTAACCTTGACTGCAATGTCTCGAACTATGATACATCATCCTAGTTCATCCTTTGGATAAGACACATGCGTAGCAGCGCTCATATCACCTGTTGTCCCTCGCTGTCAATTTGTGTGTTGAAGCGAAATTCTCGCTGAGTCCGCGGATCTGCCTTGGCAACAGTACCACCTTCTTTCAATACCCATATGTCTCGTTCAATGAAGAGCACTCCTCCATCTCGTCGAATCAGAATTATCGTGGACAGACGGGTGCCATAGCAGTCATTGATGTCCGAGCTCGACGATTTGATTGGGATTAAGAGTGGGTCGACTTCGATGGTGTTGCGCAACGTCGAGCGATCAATTGGTGCTACGTCACTCTTCCAACTTTCGCGAGAACCTCCAAATATTAGAGCATTTTGCGGACAGACTCTCATGAAGCAACACCCACGCAAGAATCCCAAACAGCTGTTCCACGAGTTTGGACTCATCAAAATCGGACGATAGGATATCTTGCAAAGCTTGTACTCCGTGTTTGACTTTGGGCCACTCGTTCGCACCATGATGATCGACACCATTGGATATTCCTCCACACCGCCTTTCCTCGTAAGTGAGCTCACGGGCGATAATTCTGCCTCCCCCTCCGCAGTTAGTGGCGATTGCGGCGTCAAGTGATAACTTATTCGCTCTAGGGTCGCTTTCCGCCCGAGGAGATAACAGGAGCAAATTGAAGCCGGCAAATTTCGTATTCCGAGAGGTGAGCTCATGAATCTCCTCCCGCAGTGTCATCGTCGGTTTCTTCGGAAGCAGGAAGGAGGACGTGAGGTCCCCTCTGGAAGAGTCGTACTGGGAGGGCGGTTCCGTGATATTGGTACTGTGTGCAGGCACGTAGTTAGTTAGACGTCGGATAGCCGTGATATTGCGTACATAATTGCTACTCGACCAGAACGGCTGAGACCTGCCCATGTTCCTCCAGCGAGCATATCTCGACCGGATAACACAAGCCCATCCCCAGATGCGTCGTCATTGATATTCCCGAACGAATGGAACCGAGCACTAACGGTGGGTCGGGACAAATATTCGTCTCGGTTGCTGCACAGGATTCTATGCTCATAAAGGGTCTGAGATGCTGACTACTGAGAACCCGAAAGCGTAACGCACAGCGCATACCGGGGATGTTCCAACGACCAGAAGCCGACACACATCGGACGAACCACGGATGTCAAGACGGCTCGGGATTCTATGATACGCAGTACGTCAAGAACGGGGAGTACCGGAACACTTGATTTGAGTTCCTTGGAAGTCTGACCTCAACTGGGTGTTCCTTGTATTCAACAGCTCGGCGATGGGTACTATTCGGATCTCCACCCCGAGTCAATGTCGAAACTAGGCCCTTAATTCTCGATGCACGCACCAGATTGAACGTAGTGGGAGTATCCTGCTTGCCGGCTGATCAAAAAGGTGTGATACAGGTGTCGAGCAACAATCCGTACACCCGGCAGAAAGCTTCTAGCAGTGATCGCTGGACTCCCAGATTCAGATTGTGATGCTCCTGAGACAATGATCTGAGCAGGAACCGCGTCGACAGCTCAGCCGTCTGTCTAATGACCTTGCTAGACACCAACAAACAGAGCTGATTGTTACGATTCTACGCCGTTATTTATCAGAGCCGAGTTTGCAGGAACGGCAGGCAGGGGAAGAGGCAGTGTTCGATGGTCAGGATAAAGGCGCGCAACGCACATGATCGACTGCCGTGATCTGATCTACCGTTCGTCCCACCTCTCATTCTCACGGCCTTCCAGTCATGAAAACACCCACAACAGTAGTTGTCGACAACGGCGCACATACAATCAAGGCTGGCATTGTCGGCGTACACGATGCTACTCCCAGGTGAGTCGAGTCGTGAAATGCGAGATGTATTGAGTATCGTCTCTATCGTTTTAATCAGGCTAATTGACAGCCAGAATAATTCCCAACGCGATTGTGCGTTCCAAGGGTGACAAGACAACATATATCGGCCACGAGCTTGAGAAATGCCGTGATTTTTCGGGTCTACATTATCGCCTGCCATTCGAAAAGGTGAGCCATGTGCAGCAGAAGTCTTCTCCGAAGTGTAGCTTAGTCGACATATTCATGCAGGGTTATCTCACAGACTGGGATGCCGAGAAAGCCATATGGGACGGATTGTTCTCCAGTGCTGTCCTAGGAGTGGGTTGAGGCACGTTCAGCCGCTCAGGGTTGTCTATTGACGTTTATATTCTTGCTGCAGATCGACACGGCTGAATCCACGCTTTTGATCACAGAGCCGTACTTTGATTTGCCTAACCTGCAGGACGTCTACGATCAGTTTGCATTTGAGGAATACGAGTTCCAATCATATTACAGATGCACGCGTATGTGCCCTTCTTTGCGTCAAGCTCGTTTTACTCATATCTAATGATGTATCAGCCGCTGCGCTCATCCCGTACGGAGACCTCTTTGCGCGACCAGGTTTGCCAACCCCCGAATGCATGCTTGTGATAGACTCCGGCTTCAGCTTCACCCATGTTATACCCATAATCAACGGCTCAGTAGTATGGGCCGCGGTCGAACGGTGTGTTCGAATCTCACCACGCCGAATGAACTGATCATATACAAATCAGAATTGACGTCGGCGGCAAGCTTCTAACAAACCAGCTCAAGGAACTAACCTCTTTCCGTCAGTGGAATATGATGGACGAGACCTACATCATGAATGACATCAAAGAAGCATGTTGTTACATATCAACCGACTTCAAGAGGGACCTAGAAATCTGTCGGTGTGTCTGGTCTGCCCCAATGAGAATCCAATGTAGTCATATGTATCTCCAGGGCGGACCCTCGGCGAAATGCCATCGTGCAAGAGTACATTCTTCCAGATTTCTCAACAGGCCGTCGAGGTCGCATTCGGCAACCTGGCGAAGCGATCGATGATTCGGCCCAGGTCATGTACATGAACAACGAAAGATTCACAATCCCGGAGATCATTTTCCGGCCAGGTGACATTGGTGATTGGCTCGAACCTAATTTAGAACTGTCCATTCATGCTGACTGGATCGCGAACCCCTCATTGACAGGCCTCGAACAGTCTGGTATCGCATCTAGCGTAGCACATTGTATAGCGCATCTGCCAGAGGACGTGCGAGGCATGTTATGGGCACATATCGGGATCGTTGGTGGGAACGCCAAGTTCTCTGGCCTCCGCGAGCGATTGTGAGTGTTTACCGATCCATTTCAATTGGACCCTGACTTACGACGCCCATTGTCACAGACAGGCTGAGCTACGATCGCTAGCTCCCGTCGACTGCGATGTCAACATTTATATTTCAGACGAGTCCGCCGATGTTGTTCCGGCCACCTGTGTTTCTAGACTGACCATCGTATCTAGGCCTATCTTGGAAGCGTACCGGTCTGCTATTGCCTTCGCAAAAAGTCCCGAGTTCTCAGCGAACGTAGTGACACGGGCCGAATACCTCGAGATGGGGAGCAACGCTTGTCGAAGAAAGTTCATTGATTGGAGACCCGTGGAAAAGGAGTGGCTTAAAGGGCAAGCACAATTGAAGGGACGCGGCTCGGCAAAAACATGGGATGAAGGCCTCGAACGGGCGTCGTCCGGAAAGAAAGGGACTAAAGTCAAAGGAAAAGCCCGTGTTACTCGACGTTAAACATAGTCAATGTCGGCGACTCGTCGCTCTGTCCACCCGGTGTTGGCTGTAGCTAGCAATTGTGTACGGATTTCAAGGATATATTAGCCCTTACGAAGCCGTTCCGGGAAGCGTCGAGGAGAACATCGAGGGTATCAGGGATGGATGAAGTAGGTTGTCGACGATCGATGAAGACTAGGCAGAGTGGAGGAGTGACACCAGGCTCTATCGCAATTCTGCTTCGTGGCCGGGAGATAAGAGCCAATGTGTTGGGCCGTGAACATTAATTCAATTGCTTCTCGTCTCGGTCATAGTCTCGGAAGTCAGTTCACATGAACAATTTCATGCCGTAACGTATATTTTCCATTCACGGTAAGGACTTTGCATCATTTCCTGCTCGATTGCCAGCATTGAATGGCGCTAGCATGAATTCGGCATGCTGAGATGGGGCACAAAAGCATTCCACGACCACTTTTGCAACAATATAGCCGCTGTGTTTTGTTTTATCAGATCCAGTTGTTCATTTCCCCATGGACAGATGATGCAAACAGCTCGTGAGGTCCTAGACTGTCGACCGTGAGGATTGCAGAAATTGAGCGCATTGAAATAATTTGGGGACATGCCTGCAAGCACCTGGGGAGAAATCAAGGCGCTTGCACGTCACCGCGAAGGAGCATCATGCTGCAGAGCTCTGCAACATACCCCGAAACTGTGCTTTGACTCATTCCTGCCTGTTCAAGATGTCCGCGGGCGGACTCGCCATGGTCAATGGCGTGAAAGGAGCGGCGCTAGACGCTGACGGCATTATACACCGGTGAGAGCCTGCCCATGCGGAACAGACGGAGCTTTTCGTGGAGGCCAGCATCTCTAGCGTGAAGAATCCCTCGCAAGGAGCAACGTGAAAGCGCGCACTTTGACTGCTTTAATGGAGTCATGACGCTGTAGCCAATTGAAGTAGACACTGCACATGCTGCATATACCGATGCCCGCAGAGAAACCCCGCGAAGCTACAGGCGTCCGTCCGGATATTTAGTACTGCAGCAAAAAAGAACGCAGGGTCGTCTCCGCGACAAACGTGAAAGATTGCGTGCACCGAGGGGCGGAGACCGCCTATCGGGAAAGAACGCTGGATTGAAGGTGTTGGTGAAACTTACAGATGATTGCTGCGAGCGGCGCATCGTTAGGTTTTCTATCTTGGCCAAGCCATCTCAAACAAAGACCGACAAGCTGCAGACGTGTGGAGCCCCACATCACATGTCTTATACCAATATGCAAAGCATATCATATGGTTTGCAGCATGTCCCAGCCACGTCTGCGAGGCAGATACATGCACAGCGGGAGCCACGGAAAACGCGCTGTTAGATATCGAGGTTATAGGGGAACAAAAAATGGAAACTCCATACAATAATGCTAACACAAAAGTACATGAATCGCACCGTCCATCCGGCGAGCAAAATAGAGGTAGCTCTACGCCGCAGCCTCTCTCTCCAATCGTCTCCGTTTCCGCTCTTGATCCTCGAAAATGATTCGCTCTGCAGCTGACATCGGTGCCTCTCTCTTCTTCCCATTACCTTGCTCTCCCTCACTTGAAGGCGCAGGCATCGACGATGCGGTAGTGGTTTTGAAAATGCTTGGGCGCTTCAACGGGTTCACAGCTGACTTTAGAGGATTCGTAGCGGGTTTCAACGGATTAAGTTTTAGTCCCCCTATAGACGCCGTAGGCGTCGATGCAGCTGCAGCCGCAGGAGCCTTGGGTGCAAAGGACAGTACGATTTTCTCCGTGCCCTCATCACGCTTTAGACCCTCTTCCACAGGCGGCGGTGACTGTTCCGATGGATCAGTGGTGGCAGCAGCCCGCTCAATCTGTTCTGCGATGAGCATTCGTTCCCGTTGCTCATCGGACATCGTCGCCCGTTCCTTCTTCAGAGAAGCTTCCTGCATTAAGACATGCTCCGTAAGCCGATGCTCAACGGTGACTTAGAGCAGAACATACCTGTTTGGCAAGCGCTTTCGGGCTGTTGTCTATCCAGGCTATGAACCACCCTTTCTCCGTCTCGTCCACTCTAGCCACACCCGTCCGACCGAGATGCTTGACGAACTCCGTCAGCGTGACCCAGCGTGTAGCATTCATGTGCAGATGATTTCGGTCTTGAATGAATTCTTGGTACACGGTGTTCGCCTTCACACGCTTGGTACCAAACCTGCGGGAGAGCAGCTGTACGAAGTCATGCTGAAATTCGGAGGAGAAGTCCGCGATGTGCCGGCCTGCACTCTCGCCGACCACGAGCATCTGCCGCAGATGCGACTCGGATTGAGCGTGACATTTGAAGCCGTTTTCATCGCGACACTGCTTTTGGCAGACTTGACAGTACCATCGTAATCGCTGGAGGCCCTTCGCCTTCATCTTGTTGGCAAGGTACTTGGGTGTTCCGACTGGAGCATCGAGAGCAATCAGCAGGTAACACTTGAGACCACAACTACCTACTCACCTTCTGCGCGAGGCATCTTGGCTGCTTCTGGACGGAGGAACCTGGAGATAAATGTTGCTTGGGTTTGGTAGCGGAGGTAGTAGAGTAATCAGCGGCGCAGTTATGCGCCACACCTCCACATCGCGGAGTTTGGGCGGAGTCTCCTTGCTGACGAATCATAGAGGTCCAGATGACAGCATATACAGACTCCGACCAATCTCAGATAAACGTTGCCCCGATCCGTTCATCGTCCTCGTCTATGCGCTTTGATCTCCGATTCGCAGGAAGCGTAGAGCTACTTGCCCTGCTCATCGTCCGAACCTCTCTTCCATCGATAATCGTTCCTAGCCCCATTGCAATGACGCTGAGTGAGAAGGCGAAAGGAAAGCAGCGTGCTGTGGAACCTCAGTCTGGCAACCCAGAACCTCCGAAGAGGGATCTCGTCATACGGTTTACCGAGGGTATACCCGACCTCACGCTGCAGATTGCAGAGAAAGACGTTGTACGGGATGTCAAGAATAAGGTAAGACGTCCATGCTTCTGCTCCATATTCTACGTGGCTTCACTCGACTACCGTAGATTCGGGATGCCAGACCCCAGCTGCATGATCGGCGTCTTCGCTTAATTCTCTCCGGGCAGTTGCTCGCAGAAAGCACGCCACTCTACAATCGGCTGACCACGCTGGAGCAACAGCACCGTCGTGCTGCGTCCGAAAACGATGCTAATAGCGTAGGAAGCAAGGTTCAGAATGCTAACAACATATGGTTGCACTGTTCTGTCGGGCCCCAGATGACGGATGGCGAGGAAGAAGAGCACTCGTTACAGGTATGCAAAGACGCCGATACATCTTTGGTTTAATGAAAACCTTATCTCCCACACACGCACAGACTGCTCAGCTCAAACCTTTGAGAGGGTTCGATCGGCTCGCCGCCGCTGGCTTCTCCGAACAAGATATTGCCAATATCCGGCTGCAATTCCATGCACACTCTGCTGGCGACTATATCGATCAAGACTTTGAAAGCGACGAAGACTGTAAGCAGTCCATGCAATCGTCCACCTTCCATTTCTTAAATTTGATTTTTTTTGGCCAGTCGATGAGCACGCGCGTGCGCTTGAAGAGCAGTGGATTGATTCGTTCGATAACGGGGGTACGCCGCTTTCGCAGTCCTCGTCGCGAGCGACATCGATGCTATTGAACGGTGTCGTCCCTGGTTTCTTCTTCCCCTTGATACCCTTCTTCTTCTTCCGTTCCCCGAAGCCGGCTGTGTTCTGGGACGACGGGAGCGAACTTGAAGCGACGAGCAGTGTCATCTTCTCGTAGGCGCCTGCGCTTCTCATCGCATGGATAGCATACTAATGGCTCCTCGCTTTTCGGCCGCGATATCTGTAGGAGACGTTTGCAAATGGGTATTGTAGTCGGCTTCCTGCTGAACGCAATCTTTGGCATTTGGACATATCTTCTCACGTCGCCCTGATGAGCAGCCGCGCATCTGTTACTGCCGTGTTCGCTTTATCGTAGCTTGATATGTTTCTTCATCAGTTATGTCCTCTACTCAGTGATAGCTCGTTATTTCGTGGAGTCTGAGTTTCGTTAGTCTGTTCTATCGTACGATCATCAGTGCAGGATATTCGTCTGGCTTGAGAAGATGTTATCCCGCGATTTATATTTCCCTTTGCGCGACGTCTGTCGAGGCGACCGCAATGCGCTTTACACTGCTTTACATGGGACAATAGGGAGGAATAGGGATGATTGAGGTTCCGCAAACGCGTCGCGCGAATGTGACACGCGACGCGTACACGCGCCAAAATTTTTGGACTTTGTTGATCAACCACTACCGCCTCGGTAGCCTGCAACTTTCTGCATTCGCTTGTATTACTACCTGGATACCCTCCGTCGACTGGCCTCTCTTCTGTAACATTGCTCGATTGACTGGATGGACCTTCAGTCGCTCTCGAAGCTCTTCGCGAGCTCCTACAACCCGGACCCAAATGTCCAAAAAGCAGGCGAGCTTCATATCCGCAAGGTACGCGTAACTTGATAGAACAGCGTGCATTCAAGATGAACGGTCGTCCTTGGTGGAGTAGATAAGTGGCCAGGAGGGCATGCTTGCCGCCGTCTTGCAGATCATCGGGAATGATAATATCGAACTGTACGTGCCACTCACGTCTTCATTTTCATCCCAAACATTTCTGGTGTTTTTCGACCCCATCCGTATACAATGCAACGAACCCATTTGTTCGGTGCAATCGTGGCGATGCCAGCGTATCATAACTCCAACTTTGCCCTATCTCGGACTCCATATCCGATCGTGCCGACAAGTTAAAAACATCGAAATCGACGCGTCTATGTTCCAAAAGCTCTTTTTCGTATCGTATCTGTTGCAATTGAGATTCAACGCAGTCACGACGGCGGTGGTAAATACGCTACAGAAGACTCACATTCATCCATTGTGTATGAGATTGTCCAGCTTGCACAGTGCTTATCTCTGCGTTTTGTAGCGCTACCCGTCAAGCCGCTGCTGTATATCTCAAAAACCGTGTTCACACTTCATATTACATCGACCCCGCTCAGCAACGGCCAGAACAGATTCCACTCCATGACTCCGATCGCACTGCGCTCAAAGCATCCCTTTTGCCGCTCTTGGCGGTCTCTCCGTCAAAATTGATCACAGTACAGCTCGCAAATGCATTGAAAACCATCGTCATGCGCGACTTTCCTGATCAGTGGCCGGCTTTGCTGGATGACGTGAAGCGACTGCTCACGAGTCATAGTGTACGGGAGGTCTGCGCGGGATGTGTTGTTGCACTAGAGATGGTCAAGGCGTTCCGGTTTGTTTCCAATCTCCCCATGTTGTACCCTTGACTTCTGACATGCGAGCGCTGTAGCTTCCGCCAAATGAGCGATGTGCTCCCGCAACTTGTCACAGAGTTGTTCCCAACACTGGTCAATATCGCACAACAGCTGCTCACGACGCCTCCTGCAAATGCATCTGCGGAAATTCCTTTCATGCTCCACCTGATCCTCAAGACATACAAGACGAGCATCGTGCTTCATTTGAGCGCGCATCAGCAGAGCGCGGAGAGCTTGGTTCCGTGGGGTAGGCTGCTCTTCCAGGTAGTGAATCTGCAGATTCCGAAGGAAGCTGCGCCGGAGGATGAGGAAGAGCGGGAACGCAGCGAGTGGTGGAAAGCGAAGAAATGGGCATATGGCATTCTTGGTCGCTTGTTCCACCGATTCGGTAATCCTTCGCAACTACCAAGTTCGATGAAGGAGGAGTACGGCCGGTTTGCCCAACATTTCGTGACGACGTTCGCTCCGGAGATCTTTAAGATCTATCTTCACCAAGTGGAGCTGTACGTGTCCGGACAGGCTTGGTTGTCGAAGAAGTGCCAGTACCAGATCTTCTCATTCTTCACCGAGTGGTACGTTTCGCGCTCTCGTAGATGAGCAGGCTCCGCATATCGCTGATTATTCTGAACAGCGTAAAGCCAAAGTCAACATGGGCTATGCTCAAGCCACACTTCCAAACTCTCGTGTCATCCTACGTATTCCCCCAGTTGTCCTTCAATCCTGCCAAGCAAGAACAGTGGGATTCAGATCCAGTCGACTTCGTTCGCACATCAGTGGGTAAGTACACAACTCATGTGCTTTACGGGGAAACAGGGGCTCACGCAGTGTGCAGACGAATATGAGAACTTCGATAGCCCTGTGTCCGCCGCGACATCTTTCCTTTTCGCGCTTTCCAGCAACCGGACAAAAACGACCTTCATGCCCATCCTTGGCTTCATTACGCGAGTTCTTCAGTCGTATGTCAATCTCCCATTCAGGCGGTAAGTATCATCGCTGACGCCTATGACTCCGCAGGAAACCCGCAGCTCCGCAGCGTTTCGGTGCTCTCAACATGACGGCTGCACTTGGACCGTTCATGATGCGCCACCCAGAAGTGAAAACCAATATTGAGCAGTTCTTGGTCCAGTTCGTCCAACCGGAGTTTGCCAGTCCGGAGCCATATATGCGAGCCATTGTGAGTACATTACAACTTCGTCATATGTATCATACTGAGTGAGTTCCGGAGGCATGCGAAGTTGTGGGAACAATGGAGAAGACAGGAATGAGGTGGTCGAACGACCAGGTGAGGAATCCCCCTCGCCATATAGGATAGTTCGCTCATGTTCTCTTAGATTCTCAGTCAGCACTTCACTGCTATCGCATCATGTCTGGATGACCCCGAGCTTCCCGTTCGAGTTCAAGCCTGTCTGGCTCTCACTGAGATGGTAGTCTGCCATGAATCAGGTATGAGGTCCTGCGGCGATACTGCGCTCGAGTAGCTGACTCCGGAGACAGTGAGGGCCGCTGTCGCACCACAGGTGGGAAAGGTGATTCAAAGTAAGTTCGTCCTTTTGGTCGTCGAGCTTTGCCAATAATAGTTTTCTTGAAGCTCTATTGAAGCTATCAGAAGAGACGGACCTCGACATCCTGAACTCTTGCATGGAAACCATGGTGGAACAGTTCCATAACGAGCTGCTGCCTGTCGCAGCAGACCTCACTGCGCGTCTCGTATGTTATTATGGTTGTCACCTCTATCAAATCCTCATGCAGTGTGCTAGTGCGAGACCTATGTTCGGCTGGCTCGAGAAAGCATGGCTGCTGATGAAGCCGGCAATGGAGACGTGGACCTTGACACGATCGTGGAGAGCGACGAAGGAGAAGACAAGACATTCGCCGCTATGGGGATCGCCAAGACTATTGGCACCGTACGTTCGATCTTGCTGAGGCGTTTACGACACCGATGCTAAGCCGTCATGCAGATTGTCAGCTCGGTCGATTCATCGCCCGAAATCCTAGCGCAAATACAGGAGATTATCATTCCTATAGTCGTCCTAACTCTGGAGAACAAGCTACTCGGTGAGTGGTCTGCGTCGGTTCGCTTGTGGAGATGAGCTAATGAGTGCTGCTGCGTGCCAGATTTGTTTGACAACATGTACGACTTGGTCGACAGTCTGACCTTCAAGCTCCGCAATGTCTCGCCCAATATGTGGCCAGTTTTTGAGCTGACGTACAAGATGTTCAAGTCTGATGCTATTGACTTCTTGGATGGTGCGAAATCATCAGAATAGACATTCTCATTCACGCCACTGACTGCGCCCCATGAAGAGATGTTGCCAAGCCTGGATAACTTCCTCTCTTATGGCATTGACGTCTTCAACAAGCGTCCTGATTACAGGCAGATGATCCTCGACATTTACACCACTTCGATCAACAGCGATCATCTGGGAGAGAACGATGCTGTGAATGGTTGCAAACTGGCCGAGTCGATGATGCTGAACCTACGTGGGCACGTCGATGACGTGAGCCGATCCTGAGCGGTAACAATTGTGGACGCAACTAAATCGTTCTTTCCTTATAGGCACTGCAAACCATTGTTGCGACCTCGCTCAGCATCGTGGACGCAGCGGAGTCATCTGCACTGCGGCTGGCCAACCTCGAGGTTTTGATCAACGCTGCGTTGTATAACCCTGGAGCAGCGCTACATTTCATGGAAGCTTATCGACCTGGTTCGGCGCGAGTGTTTTTCGACAAGTGGTTTGACGCCATCAAGATTTATCATCGGTTGCCGCGTGTACACGACAAGAAACTGAGCATTATGGCTCTGTGTGCACTCCTCGAGATGGACCCTGCCCAGATCCCCGATTCTGTGAAGGAAGGTTGGCCGATGATTGTGGCGGGTGCTCTCCGCATATTTAAGGACTTGCCCAAAGCGATCCAAGGTCTGCTCTGATCACCTCTGCGAAGCGGGGTCGTGCTGATTTGAGGCTCCCTGTGCAGCACGGAAGGAACTGGAAGAAGCATTTCAGGCTGATGATGATGACGACGTTGAGAGTGAAGACGGCCGGCTCTTCAATCTGAATGAAGACGATGGTCAGTTTATGATCTTTCAATCCACTGTAGACCCTGACGTGATTACGCACAGAGGACGTATGGGACGAGGATTCTGCCTACATGGAGATGCTGGCAAATGAGGTGAGACAATATGATCAGGCACGCAGTGGCAAGTACTGGATGCTGATCAATGACGTGTCCTTTCTCAGGGCGCCCGCTTACGGGAGAAATCCGCAAGGCAAACCGCGGGAGATGATGCGTCAGAAACGACAGAAGAGTCTGAAATTGACGAAGAACTTGGATATCTGAGCCCGCTCGACCACGTTGATCCATATATCTCATTTAAGCAAGCGTTGACTAGTATGTCTATGTCTGTATCGTCATTGCATAAGCTTATACTGCTCAATTCTCCCAGCTTTCCAGATGAAGAACCCTCAGTTCTACCAGCTGGCCACTACCTCGCTCGATACGGAACAACAGACATTGCTCATGGAAGTGATGCGTATCGCGGAGGAGAGAAGTGTAGAAGCCCAAGCTACGCAGTGACGACAATCCTCGTGGAAAGTATAGCTTGCCATCGTGATGTGATATGTCCCAGACTGTTTATGCTCGTCCTCCATCAGACCATACACTATCCTAAAATACTTTCTAGATTTGTTGGACGCTAATGTGGCTGTTACATTGATGTGTGGATGCCTTGTCAGTCTCTTTTATGGCAATGATACACATTCTACTACGATGAAACACCACTCGCGATCTCATGTTGCTGGCATAGACCTGTCAAAGAGATAGAGACAACGCATGAGCATCGGATGGGTCAATGGTGGGCGCTCGTTGAGGATTGAAGATGTTGAGACGACGCGGGTCCGACGGTGACCGCTGAGGGTTCTGCACAGGAGATTCTTCTGTATAAGGAGGGAGAGTGAATACGGTTCGTTTTGCGCTGTTTTGCGTTCGATCATTTCATGACTCAGTGTCTTCTACAACTTATAGAGTATCTGTGTGGCCCTTCTCGGCCCCCAAGCTCCGAGATTTGTGCGCTCGGATCTACTAATGAGCCCATCGGCGACTGCATTTCCAGATATCCTTTTACACATGTCCGTGAACGGGACCGCGAGGGTCACTCATTTTAAGACCTGTACTGTCTCAGTCTCAGCCGATACATGGTGTAACGAGCTCAATTCAACTGTACTGTCTCAGTCTACATAGCCTACATGAGTACAGTACAGTAACAGAGACTCTAGGTCAACTCACCTCAGCCGACATTGTGGTGTAACGAGCTGAGGGGAGATAGATGTTGAAGTCTCGGTATATAAGGTGGATGGTTATGTAAGCAGCTATCCTCGCGATCCTCCGCGCTGTTCGTCATAGACTGACAGCATCGACACTCCGCCGCGCTGCTCGTCATAGACTGACATCACCGACACTCCTCCTCAGTGCGGAATGAGTATGAGATGCAAGGAATAGCGGAAAAGGTTAGGAATGGAAAAGAAAAGGGACACAAAAATGGATGGAAGGAAGGGTGACGCTAGTACAGTACAGTACCATAGAAGACCGTGTGCATGTGAACATACCGATACCATCAGGAAAAAAAGAAACTGTCAATGGGACTCCTCCTCGCATGGAGACTTGCGTACTCCAATCTTGCTGCGCAATCGGTGGAAAGCACCGCGTGCCAATGGTTTGGTGAAGAAGTCGGCGAGATTTCTCGGAGTTTCCCGGTCTAAGCACAGCGAGAGCACAGCAAAGACGAGTCCGTTGTCCAGGGACCTCGTTAGAGTCGTTTAGATGTAGTAAACTACCGAGGTATGTACATCTTCTCGGTCCGTTATTTATTGACTAATGCCACAGTCAGACTCTATCGTACGATGCGCACTCGTTGCTAGAGCACATCGCTCTGACCGTCCGACCGGCCACTTCTCCCCGCTTGCGACAAGAGCATACCTGAGTGCCGCACGCACTCTCCTTCCAACAAGATTGTCATGAGTAGGGATGTTATGAACAGAGATGTGGTTAGAAGCGACATGTTCATGAATGGAATGCCACTTGATATCGACATGTTTTACTTGAGCATGGAAAGCGACATCTTCAGTTAAGCGAATAGCCCCGGAGTTATCACAGTGCAGCGGAGTAGCAGAAGGGCATGGAAAATGGAGAGCGGCAAGCAGGGAGCATAGCCATATGCCGTCTTTGACAGATTCTGACGCCACAATGTATTCAGATTCAGTCATCAACAGGGAGACAGTGGGTTGCTTTCGAGCAGACCAAGAGATGACTCCTGAGCCTAGCGTCCAGCAGAATCCAGAAATGGAACAATGAGTATCGATGCAGGATGTGAAACTAGCATCAGTGTAGCTCATTAAGTCAGCGACATGGGAACCTCCAAGGAAGAGTTTGAAATCGTGAGTGCCTTTAAGATAGTGCACAACACGTTTTGCAGCCTCCCAGTGAGCATTGCCATGGCAGTCAAGGAATTGACTTAGCTGTTGGACTGTGAAAGCAATGTCTGGACATGTACCGACTGCGAGATAGAGAAGGCAGCCAACGAGTTGTCGATAGGGTCGACTAGCAGTGCATTCTTTGGTGTCGACAGTGATGGGAGAGTGTTCGTGGTGGGACAAGTGAGATCCAGCATCCATAGGAGTACTGACAGGGACAGCATCTGCAAGACGGAACTCCGAGATGATTTTGTCGATAAGGGCAGTTTGAGATAGGGCGACAGTCCGGGCAGTACGGTCCCGTTCGATGGCAATGCCAATACAGAATTGGGCTTCGCCAAGGTCAGAAATCTGCCAGAGTTCCCGGAGTTCAGCTTTGAAAGTATCGGCGGCAGCACGAGTACTCACAATGATGGCAAAGTCGTCCACATGAACACCTGTCATGACGATGCCATCAGCAGTTTCTCGATAATAGATGCAATACTCACACTCAAGGTGAATGAAGCCGAGTTCCTTGAGACATTTGTCCATGATACGATTCCACGTACATATGTTTGCCTTGCTTCATATCATAGAGACCCTTGTGAAGCTCCCAAACCCAATCCTCCTTTCCCAGCTCTTCAAAATCTGGTGGCTGTTCCATGTAACAGACTTCATTTTTAGGGAGAAGACCATATAAGAAGGCAGTCTTTACGTTGACCTGATGAATTTCCCAGTCAAGGGCAGCAGCAAGATGAAGAAGAACATGAAAGGCCTCCATGCGCATAGTCAGTGATGAAGTGTGGAAAAAATCCTGCATGAAAACTGCCTTATAGCCCTTGCATACCCAGCAAGCCTTGAAGCATACTGGTTGTGAAAACTGGTTATGTTTCAGGACAAAAACAGGGTGGCCCTTCATAATACGACAGCCAGTAGAGACACTAGAGCCAGGAACAAGTCTATACACACTGAGGTCTTTGATGCTTCAGAACTCCTCCTGAAGGGCAGCACACCATTGATCAGCATAGGGAGACGCCATAGCTTTGCGCAGAGAATTAGGGTTGCCTGGGTATAAGGGATCAATATCCAGAACACCATCAGAGCGGAGCGCAGAGAGAATGTCGTCAACTTCAGGGATGGGGTCCAAAGTCGAGGAAGGTGCATTGGACGATGGTGGAAGGTCTTCGACATGAGGAGCATCATCGACAGTAGGCTGATGAGAGGAAAGAAGATGATTGGCAGAGGCAACAGATTCCGCAACAGCACGAGTGACAGAGGAAGTGTGAGGGAGGTTCAGCGCAGCAGCAAGGCGTTCAGAAGGATGAGAGGTACAAGAAGAACGATGCAAAGGGGTGACAGTAGGTGGGGAAGGGGTGGGAGTAGGCACAGGAGGGGGGGATCATCAACAATGGAAGGTGGGGAAGGAGGTGAGGAAGGGGAAGAAAGGCAAGGAGAGGAAGGAGAATCTTCAAACTGTTCAATAAAGGAAACATGGAAGGAAGAAATGACTTTGTGGGTAGCAATCAGACCCGTATTTGATCAAGACACATTTGACAAAGCGTTCATATATCTTAGGATTGTGTCGGTGTTGAATTAGTACAAAAGCACAGGCAGCCAATCTCATGCAGATGAGAGAGGTCAGGAGCATGTCCAACCCAGAGATGGTAGGGTGTCATGCCAGGAGAAACTGAGCGAGAAAAGGAGCACACTGTAAGGTAATTAGCAGTGAGCAAAAACTCGTCCCAGCAGTTGGAGGGAACATCGGCAGCAAGACACATGGTACGTGCTTTGTTCATAAGGGTGAGATGAAGGTTTTCGACATGACCATTATGAGCGGAGGTGTATGGAGCAGTGAGACAAAGACCAATACCCCGGGAAGAGAGGAAGAATTTGAAGTCAGCAGAACAGAGTTCGCCGTTATCAATCTGGACAGCACCAACATGGAGAGAAGTCTCAGTTTTCCAAGAAACAACCTAAGAGCGAAAATGATCGAGGGTAGCAGCCTTTCAGGGAAAGGGAATGGACCAGGAGTAGGATGAGAAACCATCGATTATGTGCAACGTGTACAGGTTACCAGTAGCGGAACGAACATCACATGGTCCCATCAAGTCAGCATACACCAGCTGTAGCTTCCTCGATGCCTTAAACCTGCCATGAATCTTAGGAACAGGAGAACGAGTCTGTTTTCCAAGGATACAATGGTCACATTTGAGTGGCGCTGAGGAGGTGTTGACAGGCGTACCTGAGAGAAGAGACGATCCGGCCATAGCAACAGCCGTGCAATAGTTGACATGGCCAAGGCAATGGTGCCAAGTCTCAAGAGAAGTGACGCGACGTGCGATGAGAGCGTGCTCAGTAGCTGGCGGGGTAGTGGTACACTGATAAGAGCATACAAAGGGTGGGCCGTGAGTGTACCACAAGCAATGAGGGCACCACTGCATTGGACAATGCAGACACCGTTATCAGAGAAGGAGACAACAGGATGCGAGAGAGAGGTACACAGAGCGGAGATGGAGATGAGGCATATGATAGCCTGAGGAACATAAAAAACATCCTCAAGGATGAGATGATTGCCCTTGCCAATGGAAAGGCGAATATGTCCCACATCATGTATGAAGATGACGGAACCATTGACATCACAAATATCATGAGGAGCAATGGGGCGCACATTCTGGAAGTCATCATGACAAGGGGAGAGATGTGTGGATGTGCCAGAATCAAAAAATGAATGGCATAGAGCCAACACTGGGAGCCGGAAGAGCAGTGGATGTGATAGAGAGTGCAGAAGGATCAATGGAAGGCTGTAGATGGGAAGACCAACCCAGAAATACTGAATCTTCTGGTAGTAAAGAGACATAGGCATCATATTCAGTCACATCAGTGGGAGTCATGATGGAAGCAAGCCAGCTGGGGCTCTCAGCGGCAAGGCCAGTGAACTCAGTAGATGAAAAGGGAGCAGTAGTGAAAGGAACAGGATCAGATGATAGGAAGAAGGTATGACCGGAGTCGTCGACCGTATAGGCATGCCCAGAAGTGTCCTTCTGAATGAAGGAACTGGCAGACGAGGTAGATGACTTCCCCTTTTCCTTAACTGTTCACTTCTGAGCAAGGACCTCCTCATGATGACCTTCCATAGCCCCACCAGGTCCCCAGCAGTCCGCAGTATCATGACCTTGAGGATGAGGGCAGCAGGAATTGCCACAAGACTTCTTCGAGGATGAAGAGCGACTGGGAGCACGAGTGATAAGGACATCTTCAGAACCACCGGAATGGCCATTGATAAGACACTGATCAAGATTGAGGTGAGCGATGATATCTGCCGAGGTATAAGGGGTAGAGCACATGATCTTGGCAAGCTCAGTGCCAACCTGAGATTAGACATGAGTAAGATCACCTCCCATACTGTGCAATAATGCGATGAAAAGGAGAGCATCAGTGGTAGGCAATCCAATAGCAAAGATGTGCTCAACGATATCCTGCATCTGCTCAACGGTGCCAGACAGTCACTCCAATCATGAGAATCGGCAAGCGAAGAGCTCCTGAAGTAGGAGGGCTTGAGTATATGTGTCACAGTTTTTCCACTACAATATATCTTTGGCATCAGGCCAAGGTATAAACCTTAGACATGACACAAGGCACAGATGTCACAGGAAGCCACTTATGATCTACCAGGAACACATCCAGTCATGTGACCTAGACAAGCGCCCACACAAGTGCCCCTAACTAGTGCTCAGCTATGATCATCAAAGCTCGCAAGGCTCAGCTATCCCATGTGACACCAAGGCACCTTACTAAGTAGTAGACACCCCATTGGCCACTCAATAGTGGTCCCACTTCAGTCACCGACAAGGTGGCACCATGTTATACAATTATCTCATTGGATAACCTCATGGTCAATAGTAGATAGTTGTCATGGTGAGACCAGAACCATTACTGGTTCTGGCATTATGTTCACATGTAGGTACCAGAGGTCTCACAGTAGCACAAGTGCCAGGGGCTCTGCCATACATGTATATAAGCACCTATGAGGAACTGGATATCCCCAGTTTCATTCACCTATTTCATGAGGCCTACAATGGCCATTTACCTCTCATTGATCTAATAAGGCTAAGGGCCCTTTGAGCCCCTTTCACCTCATGTCATCATCCACCAAAGGTGATGAGTCATAGGATGCAGGCAGCACCTTGCAGCCAGCTCCTTGCCTTTCTAGGCAGGAGTCACAATGCGTCGTGACAATATGTGCCTTGTTTTTGATGATGAGTATGCAGAGCTTCCCAAAGAGCCTTCACAGTGTTATATTCATCAGATAGGATGAAGCATTGTTCTTCTTTGGAGCAGCACTGACAGATGTAGGCACATATCATGCCATCATTGATAAGCCAGTTCTCTGAGCTGTTGAAGTCGACATTAGGATTGGGCTGAATGACAGTGCCAGTAAGGTAGCGATCAAGGCCTTGCACCATTTGAAGGTTGTTTACGATACCCTGGCTCCAAGTAGCATAGTTTTCTTTTGCACAATCAAGAGGCTTTGCACATGAGTAAAAGGAAGTGGGGAATGAAGCAGCAGTGATCTTGCAGGATTTCGGAGACCTCAGTTTGGAAAGGATGGGGGCTGGTGCCAAGCCACTAGAACCAGTACCTGCAGCACTAGCAAAATGGGAATGTTCATCAGAGGATGGCATGATGACCGGAGAATCGTTGCACAGAGGATGAGATTAGAAACAGAGGAGAAAATGCCTCTGAGAGTTTAATGTGCACTTATATGGGCGCTGCCACCACTATAAGGCTGGAGTATGAGGGCAGGTATGAGATAAATGGATTCGGCTTACGGGAGCACGAATCTGGGGCTCATAACCTTTTAAGACCTGTACTGTCTCAGTCTCAGCCGATATGTGGTGTAATGAGCTCAATTCACCTGTACTGTCTCAGTCTACATAGCCTACATGAGTACAGTACAGTAACAGAAACTCTAGGTCAACTCACCTCAGCCGATACATGGTGTAACAAGCTGAGGGGAGATAGATGTTGAAGTCTCGGTATATAAGGTGAATGGTTATGTAAGCAGCTATCCTCATGATCCTCCATGCTGTTCATCATAGACTGACAGCATCAATACTCCGCTGCGCTGCTCATCATAGACTGACATCACTGACAACTCGAAGTGCATTCTTTGAATTGCATCCTGGGGACACATCGCGACGTGATCACGTCATTTTGGGCAAAGTTGAAAGCAGGCAGTCAGACTGGGCTCCTGGTCTACAGCTGACTTCGGGACCTTGAGGGCCTCTAATACTGCATTTTCATACTTCTCGGACATGAATTATATACCACAATCTCAATAAGACTGCTGGGAGATTGAGATCTGGATGGCAATCCCTTGTCCTCTTAACAAACTCTCAAAATCAGACAAGGATATCCGAAGCCTGCACGGTAAGTTCGAAGGAATTGTCTCATTTGCCCACGGAACACTAATTAGGTTCAGATCTATCCGGTGTCTTCTGCGCAAGCTAAAATGTGTACAAACACAAGGAACTGCTATGTGGGTGTCGTGCATTGCATCTACATCTGCAAACAGATTGTAGACAGTCAGAAAGCATTCAGTCTTCATCTCAGGAAAAGACTGATTTTGTCATGCATGAGAATATGCAACTTGCTGCAGCAAAATACCTGTGCAAAGAGTCAATGTTTCTGACTCATCAAGCTGCAATCACTTTTTGTGGCATTCCTGTAAATGCAATGAGCCTATCACTTCCAAAGGCGATATAATTGTGCTTTACAGCCAAGATAGGCCACCACCTTATCAGAAGAATTTATGATATCCAGATATTGTTCCCAGCACATTTAACCTGTTAGCCAGGTATAGAGCCATGACTAGTGCATTGGGAGCTTCCATTAATGACAACTATGACCCCTCTGCTGACTGATATCTATAAGCCTGCTTTATTGTATAGTGCAACATGCGTGAAGACATCCACATGAAAACCATTGCACATCGCATTGACCATGCTGTGACGAGCTGAGCAACACTGGCAAACTGATCACACATCATGTCCTCGACTGCTTGTGATTGTGGACAAGGACTTATGCCTTGATCCTGTTCAGATAGTTACAAAAGACTGAAATGCTGCAATTGTAGGGGTTCAGAGCACCTTGGCAACATTTGAAGGATCTGCATCTAGACATAAGCCTGTCCAACTCAAAAATAAAAGAACTAATAAGAAACTGATACAAACACTTTATTCTAGCGCTCTCAGACATCTGGGAGACTGTTATAGACAATTTGTGAGATGACACTGACACTTTATCAGTCTGTGCACTTGTGTGCCATGCGTGGTATCACTGAAGACACTTCCACTTGCTGAAAGTAGTCAGACTTCACAGTCAAAAAGATGTTTGAGCTTGTGCTAGATCCCTCAGAACAAACCCTCAGTTGTCAAATTTGGTGAAGCATCTGGTAATTCACGGAGGCCACCAACTGACATTGCAGAAGATGGGGCCAATTTCGTATCTTGCAACAGCCACAGTGGTGTTGACCTGCAAGCTGCCTCAGCTTGATCAGCTCATCATTGCAGATGCAGAGTGGCAACCGTGGATGATGCACAAGAATGTATTCTTGTATCTTCTCACCTTCACCGCTGTCACCTGCCTCTGACTCCATAATGTTACCTTTCCATCAATTGCCATCTTTGGATGCCTGGTCTGCTCCCTCCAGGCCTCACCACCATTGTCTGCTGTGATTTGACATTCACACATGACACCTTGGGTCAAAAAGACTTCGACATATGGCACAATCACACAAAGATCAAGGAATTGTGCCTCCATGACAGCGGCATCAAGGAAGTGGCTCAGTTCATGGCATCCACAGAAATTGGTGCTGGCCTTCAAGAAAGATTCCTTAGACAGCCTGCTGATTACCAGGATTCAAATAGAGTCGAGCTTCAAGAACTGCTAGAATTCGAAGGTGAATCACTCTCATTGCTTCATGTATAGCTTGATGACACTTCGGGAAGGCAGTTAACCATGAGAAGCACCAGTAAATATTCTCATCTCATCAATTCTTTCCGTTCTGATTGACTTATTGTAAGATCACATATTTTTGCATAGTCACAATGCTGTGCTCAGATATTTGACTCTGTCTCTGCCAATTTCTACAGCGGACACTGGCAGCATCGATTGGATACTCACCACTTTATGTGAAGTCTGATTGGATAAGCTGCAGAAAATCAAGCTGTGCCTTGACATCCATTCATACGTGAAAGGCATCAGGTTACAGAGCATATTGGACATGTGTGG